CTGGCCTAGCAGCTCCCAATCTCTCCCCTCTCTCTGTAGTCATGAAGCCCCCGCATGGATAGAAAGCAGAGGCGGATGGAAACCAGGGAGGGTCTCTTGAACAGAGCTCCCACCACCACCATCAATCACCCACTTTTCCATTTTGGGGGGGCCAGGAGCAGACCTTTTTGTTCTCCATAGCCTTTTAAACTTTTGTAGTCTAGCCTTTGATCCTTTGACTCCGACGTTCTCCGTTGCTGTTCATCTTCTTTCCGCTTCCTTTTACGGTCTGTTTTTCGCTGTTGTTGGAAACGCGACTTTCCCCCCCCAAATCGGTGGAACCAGCTCAACAGGAGCAGCAGCAGCAGCGGGCGTCCCTGCGGTTGCCAGAGACGAGGATGTACGACTCACAGCATTACTTGATGTTACCGCTTTGGAGGAACAGCCGTCGGGGTGAGTCCTGCTGGTTCAGTCACTTGCAGTGACTCACTCCGGAGTCAGTTGGGGACGAAAGGCTTAGAGCGCCTCTTTGCAAGCACAGCAGCCCTGTGGAGAATCGGGACCTCCGCTCCTGCTCCTTCCATTTTTCAAAACAGACTTTGTTTCTAAGGATGCTCTTAGCGTCAGGTCTAGCATAGTCCACGGAAACGCAAGGCTATGTGACCAGCCTCCTAGGAGAGGATGCAACCCAGAGGTTTGTACAGGAGAATTATAGAGTTGGTAGGGACCCTCAGGGGCCATCTAGTCCAACCCCCAGCAATGCAGGAAACATCCAAATGGAGCATCCATGACAGACAGCCATCCGTCTGATTTCAGTGCGGATTCCTGCCTGAAGGTAAATTTGCCCAGGACCGCAGCCATAATCCCTCTGGGCAATGAATGTTGAAAGATGTCTGGAGAAATTAACCCTTTGAAGGGACTGCTGCTGCTGCTGTGCAAGACAAGATACGGCCAGGACTGGGCAGCAGGCGCTGTCTTGGGAGCTGCCCATGGGAAGCAGAGCAGAGCTGCTGCTAAGTTAGAAACTTAGTATTCCCAGAAGGGTTTCCATTTGGTTCAGGAGTCTCCATGGGGAAAGGTTTAAGCTGAACGTGTTCCACATATTTAACATAATGTTGTGCGCCACCCCAATTTCTGAGCCGTGAGAGAATCATGGGCTTCAAGGCATTTTACCTGGGTTCAGTTTCCTTGGAACGAAAGACCCTGCAGTGTCTTTAGGATATCTGGTTTTATCCGCACGCAGATACAACCTGAGCATAGGATGTAGTCCCGGCTTTGGGTCCAGCGCAGAGCAAGCAAGTCTCTGTCTCCTGCTCCCAGCTCTGCTCACTCGCAACTCTCTGGATCTTATTTCCTACCTAGCAGGCAGGTGAGGGGGATGGAGGCCCATCCCTTGGCCTGGAGGCCCCCTCCTTCAGTCCTGTCTCTTGCAACCTGGCTCATTCTTTGGGGGTGCTGATGGGGACAGCCAGGAGGTCAGCTAAGGCCACTGCCTTACAAAGAAATTGGCCTAATTCAGCCACTTCCTCTGAGAGTCCATCGCCTTCCTCCCCTGTCAAACGGCTCTTACTGTCAGAAGGTTCTTGTATAATCGAAATCTCCTTTCCTGTAACTTGAAGGCCTGGGTTCAAGTTCTACCCACCAGAGGAGAAGGGAACACTTATCAAGAAAAACAGCTGGCAAAAGACAGCTTTCCCCTTTCCATTTCCAAGCTCCCATTGGCTCCCTGCTCTCTTCTGTTAGAGGGGGACTCACAGAATGGCAGAGTTGGAAGGGACCCCGAAGGTCATCCAGCCCAACCCACTGCAACGCACCCAACCCGCTTGCGCTTTTAGGGTCTGGGACTCACCATTTCAGCCTCTTCTCCCTCGTTGAGCAAAGCCTGGTGGTTCCCTCCATGTTTCCTCCCCATGGGAAGCTGCCTGCATTGGTCTCCTGAGGCCTCCAAGTATTCCCCGGACTCTCTCCAGGGTCACTGTCGCTGCTGCAAGCCTTGCCAGGACACCCGGGAGGGGTCACCCCTTATATGCCAAGGAAGCTTGCTAGGGACACACCTTCCTCCAGACAGACAGCTCCGCCCCATGGCTCCAGGTAGGATCCACCTGGCCCTCCTCGCCCGTCCTGCTCTGGCATCCGCTGCCGGAAGATCCTTGGCCCGTTCAGAGAGAGCGCTGGAGGTGGGGAGACGGAGCCCGGCTGCATTCTTCTGCTGGGGACAGGCCAAAAAAAGGGGAGTGCTTCGCCAGGAAAGATTATGGGATTTCTCTGAGCCGGGCAGCGTGTTTGTCAGAAGCAGAAAAGCAGGTCTTGATTGATCGCCGTCTCTCTCTCTCTGTACAAATGAACTTTGCCATGTGCTGCCAAACTTTGGCAGGGCACAGCGACCGAGAGAGACCCACCTCCTCAGCGGGGCGAAAGGAGACGGAAAAGGGAGCAGGAGAGGAAGAGAAGTTCATGCAACGGAGAAAGGGGACAGAGAAACGTTTTTCTCCATCTCGCCTAACGGTCGAGCTCATGGGCATCCCATGAAGTCGAACGGTGGAAGATTCACTCCTTCGCACATGCAGAGTTAAACGGTGGAACTCCTTGCCACAAGAGGCAGGGCTGGTCACCAGCTTGGATGGATTTAAAAGAGGATGAGATGAATTCATGGAGGAGAGAGATGTCTGCGGCTCTGGATGGCTCTGCTCTGCCTCCACAGTCCGGACAGCGATGCTTCTGACTCCCATTACCTGGAATCCACAGGAGAGGAGAGTTGCTCTCGCACTCGGAGCCTGCTTGAGAACATAAGAAGAGCCCGCAGGATCAGGCCAAAGGAGCCGCGTTCCGTCTAGCATCCAGGTCTCAGACTGGCCAACCAGATGCCAGTTGTGGGAAACTCACAAACAGGATCTGAGCACAATAATACACTGGTTTCCTCTTTTGTCAAGTTTTCTTTACTTTCTTTATTACAGGAATCAGGTGGTGATTATACATGTATATAAACATGTATACATGTGTGTGTGTGTGTGTGTGTGAATGATGGATTTAGACAAGCGAGACCATACTATATGCTGAAGGCATTTCCCTTCTGTGTGCCGTGCTTCATAATTTGCATAAATCAATAGGGACAAATGTCAGGTTCTGCACTTAGGCAGGAAGAACCAGAAGCACAAAAAAAGGATGGAGGACACTTGGCTTACTAGCAGGACATGTGAAAATGGTCTTGGGGTCTTGGCGGACCACAAGCTTCACATGAGTCAACAGGGTGATGCAGCAGCAAGAAAAACTACCGTATTTTTCGCTCCATAAGACACACCTTTTTCCTCTTAAAAAGTAAGGGGAATGTCTTTCCAGCATCAGTGTCTTCTCCAGGGAGTCTTCTCTTCTCATGAGGTGGCCAGAGTCTTGGAGCCTCAGCTACAGGATCTGTCCTTCCAGGGAGCACTCAGGGCTGATTTCCTTCAGAATGGAGAGGTTGGATCTTCTTGCAGTCCATGGGACTCTCCAGAGTCTCCTCCAGCACCAGAATTCAAAAGCATCCATTCTTCGGCGATCAGCCTTCTTGATGGTCCATCTCCACTTCCATACATCACTACTGGGAAAACCAGTGCTTTAACTATATGGACCTTTGTTGGCAAGGTGATGTCTCTGCTTTTGAAGATGCTGTCTAGGTTTGTCATCGCCTTTCTCCCAAGAAGCAGGTGTCTTTTAATTTCATGGCTGCTGTCACCATCTGCAGTGATCATGGAGCCCAAGAAAGTAAAATCTCTCACTGCCTCCATTTCTTCCCCTTCTATTTGCCAGGAGGTGATGGGACCAGTGAATATATTAATAATATATATTTTTATATTATAGTGATATTATATTAATTTCTAATTATAATAATAATAATTTATTACTTTTTTGGGGGAACAGGAGGCGGGCAGGTGTGGAGGATTCCCTGGTCCTGAATGGGGTAACTGTTCCCCTGAAGGACCAGGTGCGCAGCCTGGGAGTCATTTTGGACTCATAGCTGTCCGTGGAGGCGCAGGTCAAATCTGTGTCCAGGGCAGCTGTCTCCCAGCTCCATCTGGTACACAGGCTGAGACCCTACCTGCCAGCGGACTGTCTGGCCAGAGTGGTGCATGCTCTGGTTATCTCCCGCTTGGACTACTGCAATGCGCTCTACGTGGGGCTACCTTTGAAGGTGACCCGGAAACTACAACTAATCCAGAACGCGGCAGCTAGACTGGTGACTGGGAGCGGCTGCCAAGACCACATAACACTGGTCCTGAGAGACCTACACTGGCTCCCAGTACGTTTCCGAGCACAATTCAAAGTGTTGGTGCTGACCTTTAAAGCCCTAAACGGCCTCAGTCCCAGTATACCTGAAGGAGCGTCTCCTCCCGCATCGTTCTGCCCGGACACTGAGGTCCAGCTCCGAGGGCCTTCTGGCGCTTCCCTTGCTGCAAGAAGTGAGGTTACAGGGAACAAGACAGAGGGCCTTCTCGGTGGTGGCGTCCGCCCTGTGGAACGCCCTCCCATCAGATGTCAAAGAAATAAACTTCTACCTGACATTCAGAAGACATCTAAAGGCAGCCCTGTTTAGGGAAGTTTTTAATATGTGACATTTTAGTGTATTTTTAATCTTTGTTGGAAGCCGCCCAGAGTGGCTGGGGAAACCCAGCCAGATGGGCAGGGTACAAATAATAAATTATTATTATTATTATTATTATTATTATTATTATTATTACTTATTACTACTACTTCTACTACTACTACTATTATTATGATTTCCCCCTCTCTTCTGCCCGTTTCCTCCTCGCTCGGGAGGGCAGGACTCGAACTCGTGGCTCGCCTTTCTCTGCCAGGGGAGGAGCATCCAGCACCACGTGACCCTCCGGGGCGGGGCTTACCCGCCCTCCCCTTACCCCTCCCCGCCTCGCCCCCGCCTCTGCCCCTTCCCGTCCGCGGCGTCGCCTCTCTACGCTTCGTGAGTCTATGTCCCGCGGCGTGAGGGGGCGGGGTCTCCCGGGCGGCGCGGTGTCTCCCTCAAAGCGCTCCGCCCGCCCCTTCCGCTTCCGGCGGCGTGTTTTGGGCGGCGCACTGGGCGAGGGAGCCCCTTGGCGGGCCGAGAGGGAGGGAGAGACGCCGGGATGTGGAGGAGCAGCGCCCGCGCCGCCTGGTGAGACGGAAGGGGGGAAGGCGGGGGGCGGCCGCCCTGGCAGGGCCGGTGCGGGGAGAGGGAGCCAGAGGCCTCAGGCCTAACCTCTCCCCCCCCTCGCCCGGGCGGCGACCTTGGGGGCCCCGGCCTGGAGGGGGGGGGTGGAATGGCTCCCCGCCCCCCCCCCGGGCCTCCCGCAGCCCGGAGGAGGGAAGCTTTCCACATTGGAGGAATATTAATATTAAAATAGAATATTTTTATGCAAGCCGCCCAGAGTAGCTGGGGAAACCCTGCCAGGTGGGCGGGGTAGAAATAATAAAATTATTATTTAGGATGATGATGATGATGGAGAATCATGGATAAGAATAAGGACTTTATCATTTATACCCCGCCCCTCGGGCCGCATGCACTTCCTATATCAGGCATAGGCAAACTCCGGCCCTCCAGGTGTTTGGGACCATAGCTGTCAACTTATAGATTTGAAAATAAGGGACCAGCAGCCTCCAAATAAGGGACCGGCAGCCAAAATAAGGGATTTTGGCTTCGCTTATACAGAAATCCGCCACTGTTGGAGCCGTGCTGCTTTGGCTGTGACTGTGTGTTTTGCAGGGGGTTGGACTAGATCAGTGTTTCCCAACCTTTTTTGGGCAAAGGCACACTTGTGTCATGAAAAAAATCTCGAGGCACACCACCATGCCAGATGGGGAAAGGTCACTTTTTACTTATGTAAAAAAAAAATTAAAAAATAGTAACAGCATAGAAGGTAATGGTTATCTCTTTGATGTCTGATGGGAGGGCATTCCACAGGGCGGGCGCCACTACCGAGAAGGCCCTCTGCCTGGTTCCCTGTAACCTCACTTTTCACAGTGAGGGAATTGCCAGAAGGCCCTTGGCACTGGATCTCAGTGTCTGGGCTGAACGATGGTGGCGGAGACGCTACTTCAGGTATACTGGACCGAAACCGCTTAGGGCTTTAAAGGTCAGCACCAACACTTTGAATTGTGCTCGGAAAGGTACTGGGAGCCAATGTAGGTCTTTCAAGACTGTCGTTACGTGGTCTCGGCGGCAGGTAGCAGCGCTCACAGCTTACGGACTGCACCGTGTAACAGGTGTCTGGCCCAGCAGCCTAAGGCGGACAAGCCACTGAAACAGGCATTCAGAATCCATTCATTTCATAAAACCTGCAGGGCTCAATCTCTGTGTTTGTGTATGTGTGTGTTTCTGTTTTGCCCAAGGGTCTGGGGGTGGGAGAGAGCTCTTTAGCATGATGCTTTTAAAACAATTAAATTATCAACAAACAAACCTGATGATACGAATAGCAACGTCAGGTGCTACCGGGGGGGGGGGAGAAGGGGGCCTACTCGGAAGTAAATACTGCGTCCAGGCGCAATTAGCGCTGATTTAAGGTGCACCAAGACTGCCTAAAAACCTCACCAAAGATATGCAACAAAGCGCTTCGTTGCAGAGGGGAGAGTTTGTGCACCGTGGAGGCTGGAGGGCTTCTATTCTACATGCGGGGGTTGGGGGGGCGAGGAAAATGTGCTCCGTGGGGGGGCGGGGAAGGCAAGAAAAGGAGCTGAGCTCTAACTATAGGCTCCCACGCTTGAGCAGGCCCGACTCGGTGGGGCGGACCACCCTCTCTCCTGGAGGAGGAGGAGGAGGAGGAAGAGGAGGAGATTCCCATCCACGGCGTGGCCTCCCGCGCTCCTGAACGGGAAATCTCTGCAGCCCAAGACTCTCCGCGAGGCAGCTCCTCCCTTCCTGCCTTGAGCCGCCGCCAGCCGCGCCCCCCTCCCCAGTTATCTGCTGCCTGCCAAGCCCCGCCCCTCTTCATTGTCCTCCCCTTCTGTTTATTCCCCTTCCTCCATCCCTCGCTTTTTTCCCTCTCTTTCCTTTTTTAAAAAAATATTTTCTCTTCCCCTTCTTTTTTTCCACCCTTTCTTTTTTCTCTTTCTCCCCCCCCTCCCCGCCCTCCTGGGTTAAAGGATTTGAGCAATGGGTCTGGAGGTGGAGCTCGTCGGAGGATTAGCCCGACTCGCCCGCCTCCCTCCCACGGCACACTAGGCAACGTCCGGCGGCACACTAGTGTGCCGCGGAACACCGGTTGGGAAACACTGGACTAGATGATCCTAAGGGTCTACAACTCCCACCAAAGAAGAGGGGCAGACAAAACTGATGAACGACGTAGAGATGGCAAAGCTTACAGGCAGAATTAGAAACCAGGAAGAGGACCTCTTTAATAAAGAATGGGGAAAGTTTATAATTTAGTTGAAAAGCTGTTGTAAAGAGTTACATACATTGGTAGGTTTGACAGAAAACTTGTAGTAAAAAATGAAACTATGGATGGACAGATGATTTATAAAAATAGAGTTAGGAAAGGGATGTAGAGGGGAAAATCACTACATTAGGATGCTGCACTGGTTGGAGGGGATGCTAAGCAGCACGTCGGGGCTGCTGTCGTCCTGGCGCCAGCAGCCTTCCCCGCCCGAGAGGGAGGGGGAGGGAGAGAGACTCACGCCCACACCACCCGCGAGCCTGGCATGAGGCTGTTGCAGCGCGGCAGCGGCCACTGAAGCGCTGCCCTTCAGCGTCCCTCCCCATCCCCTCCTCTTCCTCCTCCCTCAGGCTGCCTCCTCAGCCGCTGCTGCCGCCTCCAGCTTCCCCTGGCAGCGCGGCGGAAGTCTCGCAAGAGAGGGGCTGCCTGCCCACCCGCTGCCGCCCGTCTCCTCATGACACACCCCTGAGGGGGAAAAGGGAGAGATGGAGACGCGGTAGCTCATGCGCGCTCTCTCTCTCGCGGCGGAGGACACCAAGTCGCTGCTTCCCTCCCAAGCCGGGCGAGCATGAAACCCAGGAAATTTAAGGGACATCATCAATAAGGGACAGCAGCGGGACACGGCGTTGGGATAAGGGTGTTTCCCGCCAAATAAGGGATGGTTGACAGCTATGTTTGGGACTACAATTCCCATCATCCCTGACCACTGCACCTGTAAGCTAGGGATGATGGGAATTGTAGTCCCAAACATCCAGAGGGCCAGAGTTTGCCTATGCCTGTCCTCTATGAAGGCAGGGTGTTTTTTGCTGCTGTTCTTACGTTATGCATTTTGTGCTTTGACGGTGGAAACCTCCCTGTGGTCTTTGGATGAAGGGCAGCATATAAATTTAATGAACGACCATGATAGAGCCATAGAATTGAGGAGTTGGAAGGGGCCCCCGGGGGTTCCTCCCAGCCACAACAGCAGATGCCTTCCGTCTATATAATAATAATTTATTACAGTGGTGCCCCGCAAGACGAATGCCTCGCAAGACGGAAAACCCGCTAGACAAAAGGGTTTTCCGTTTTTGAGTTGCTTCGCAAGACGAATTTCCCTATGGGCTTGCTTCGCAAGACGAAAATGTCTTGCGAGTCTCGCCATTTCCCCCCCCCCGCTTTCCCCCCTTTTTCTAAGCCACTAAGCCGCTAATAGCCTTTTAGCAGCTCAGCCGCTAAGCCTTTAATAGCCGCTAAGCCGCTAATAGCGCTAATCCGCTTAGCCGCTAATGGGGTTGCTTCGCAAGACGAAAAAACCGCTAGACGAAGAGAATCGCGGAACGGATTCTTTTCGTCTTGCGAGGCACCACTGTATTCCCAGCATTGGAGTGCCTGCTTTCCTCGCACCTCTGCAGCAAGGAAGCAGCTGGTCCCAAGTTGCAGTGACATTTCTTTTTTTTTTTTTAGCCAATGCATGATTGAAAGGAACTTTCTGTGTTTCGGTGGCCATTGAATTGGGAGTTTTATAAAGACTTTAATCTCGCTGTGATGTTCCTGTAACAGCAAAAGCACGTGGCTGTGTTTTCCTCATGTCCGGCCAGCTAGGGAGTCAGCAGCTGGTGGTTCAGGGACAGCTAGGGGGGTGCTCAGATGTGCAGGGAAGATTAGAATCTTGCTTAAGGCTGGAACAGCATTGCACGTGCAAATAAGTTCTTTGTCTTCTCCTTCAGCGTTGTCTGTCAACACCTAGCAAATGGGACCTATGGAGTCAGAGGGAAGTCGCCGCTGCAGAAACTGCATCTCGTTTCCCGGAGTATTCATCATTCCCGCCACCCTCTTTCCAGATTTCAAAGGCTGCCGTTACGGATCTCAGCGCAGCCGTTCTCTGCTCTTCATCACCTTCCCTTGCGCAGCAGCAAACTCCTCCTTGTAAAGCATGGATCCCAACCCCACAGGACCTTTTGGCTAGCCAGAGTGGCTTCCAGGCTTCTAAAGCTTCGCTATCTCGTCTTAGGATCTGCTGTGGGTGGTGGCTACACAGCCAAAAAGGTACTTAGCTCTGGAATAGTGACTGGTCTGTGCCATCCGTACGGTGTGTTGGCACAGTGACTCTAGACTCATTGTCTGAAGAACTAAAGGTTTGGGGATGGACAGTACACAGTTGTTGATCTAAGGCAAGGAAGTTGCTTCATAGAAAGTAAGATCAGCTACCTTAGTGACAGACTCTGGCAGGATTTTTTTTAAAGTGCCTTCAGGCAGTGCCTTTTTCACGGGTGCAGTTGAGCAGTTCAGCTCAGTTGCTGACAGCCGTGCAAGAACCCTTGGACTGTCAAGGGAAGTTGCCTGTGGTTGAGTAACAGTGGAACCCTTGGCCAGGTTGGAACCCCTAGCCAGCCAAGATTGGCCCTGATCTAGGAAGTGGGTTGTCATCTTGCAAACAAAGTCTTATGCAAATGGTGCAAAAGGACAATGAAAGAGTTACCAAATTCCTAGCTGATATTCCTTCAGATCCGTGAGTGGAATAGGGTTGCTTTTCAGTGTGGGAAAGCCCCAGTCTTTCCTCCAACCCTCATGAAATTTATGCCAGCCCCTTTCTTTTCCTGGGGGCTCTCCTTGCTCCAGGCCTCTAGATCAGTGTTTCCCAAACTTGGGTTGCCAGCTGTTTTTTGGACTACAACTCCCATCATCTCTAGCTAGCAGGAGCAGTGGTCAGGGATGTTGGGAATTGTAGTTCAGAAACAGCTGGAGACCTAAGCTTACCCTTTCTTCCTTTTCCTGCATGTGAAGCATCGGTAGAAGTGGAGAAATCCTCTGGAGTGTTGCTGCTACTTTCTGAGTGGGGAAGACCCTTGCCTCCTGCTCCAAGCTGTAGTGGCATCTCCTAATTTGAGGTGTGCTGCAAGGAGCAACTTGGTTTTGATGGTGGTGGAATCATGAGAGATGTGCAGAGGTTGAAGTTGGGAAGGAGGAAGTTTTATATTCTCTCTCCCAATTATGCTCCCTGAAACTGGCAAAGCTCAGGATTAAAGCCGCTGGATAAGCCGATTATGGTTTTTATCACCAGGTGGTTATTGTGGCTGATGAGATGATTTGCAAATTACAGGAGGGCAAAGATCTTTTGAGGGCTATGAGCTGTCCTATTCTACTTGTGCATCTGCCTCACTGTGCCACCAGGGCTCTTTCACCTATGAATTCTAGCTGCCTATATTATGTTTCTTCTGCAACACAGCTCATAGTTACAGCAGTACCAAAGCACTGGAAATCTAAATAGCATTTCTGTCAGCAAAACAATATCGTTGTACTGTGCACATTAACTTATCAGTAAAGCAAACACACTCCTACAATTATTATGCAGTTCAAACACAGTAATTTGCAAAGTAGTTTATTGGGGAGAGCTGCTGAGCAGACAGAACCCCTCTGGAAAGGCGATTCCTCACCAGGGGCAAAAAGGCACAGCTTGGTTTGACTGGTTTTCTTCTCAGCAGCACAAGGAGCAGATGGATGTCTGCCCAAAGGCTGGCAACCTCTAGGCAGCTGCTGCTTCTATAGTTTGAACCGCGAGAAAGGCAGGGCCAACCAGGTGGTCTTACTCAGCTTTGGGTGAGGAGGAGGAGAAGCACTGATCATATGGAGCTCAGTGATAAGCCAGTCAGCGAAACAGAGGTGGACCCTGCAAGGTCAGCGCCCATCTGGGGCTCTTCGTTGGCCCTTGCCCTGATCAAAGGCATCTCCTGCCCGTTTTGCATGTGAAGTTCCCAGACTCAAAAGGCAACTTGAAAAAGGACATGGTGCTGACGAATTACTTTTAAAAACATAAATGCAACCCATTGATTTGGATACATTGAACTTGAAATTTTGAAATTTAAATACTTTATTGTCACTTGTACAACTTGCATACAGTGAGATTATACAAGCAGCCCCCACTCAGCTCTCTTGGTCTTAATTCCCCTCGTTTACTGACGCACACCCACCAAACCCAAAAGTCAGTTGCCCTGTTGTTATCTTTTCATTCAGCAGCCTAACAGCCCACGGACAGAAGCTGTTCTTTACCCTGTTGGTGTGACTAATCCTGCTTCTGTATCTTCTGCCTGAGGGCAGAAAAGAGACGACACTTTCTATCGCAGACCGGTAGAAGGAGATCATCAAATGTTGATTGACGTCGTTCTTTCACAATACTCTGAGGAGATGGAGTCTCTGTTGGGCTTTCTTAACCACCTGGGTTGTATTGACATATGACAATATGTCATATGACAAGACAGGGTATTCTGACTAAACATTGGGAAGAAATTTCTGTTTGAGAGTGGAATGGACACTCTCGGAAGGTGGTGGGTTCACCTGCCTTGGAGGTTTTCAAGCAGAGGTTGGGTGGCCATCTGTCAGGGATGCTTCAGTTGAGATTCCTGCATTGTAGGGGGTTGAACTAGATGACTGCAAGGGTCCTATTCCAATTCTGTTAGTCAGAAGGTTGGAGGAAGGAATAGTCTTGTACACTGCAGACTTGCAGTTTTGTTCTAGTCATCGTAGTAGCTAATGCAAAAGTTTGCTGATGTCTTTCTCACTTCTCATTTAGACATATGACCAATGGAAGGAGATGGTGCCTGATCTCACTGAATACAAGTGGATTATTCCTGACTTCATATGGGAACTTGATGAATACGTTGACTTCGGTTGGTGCCAGATTTTCATTTTCCCTCTAATGCCAAGTTGTTGCAGAACTTTGATAATCAGTTATACAGAGGGACAGGCATCATTCCTTTCTTCTGGGGATTTAAAAAAAATACATTTCAGAAATCCAAATGTTTTTATTACATAATATTCCCTGATATTATTTATTTTACTCTCTCCAAATCTCTGTGTGGCTCATACTAAAGGATATACTCCAGCAGTAAAACAATGAAATCCCATCCAATTAAAAAAAAATATTGTTTTTGTGTACCACTTTGAGGGGTTTTTTAACAATCAAGCGGTGTAGTGTTAAATAGTACAAAAGCACAGATGGCTTTTCAAGAGTGCAGCTGAGGATGGGGGGAGGCCATAACAAAAGCAGATTGAGATGCCAGATGACCGTTTGGTTTGGAGTCTTGGCCTGGCATGGGAGGTGGGCTCCTTCTTGCTGTTCTGGGAGTAGCATCATTGTCATAAGGCAAATCTTAAAAAATATAGTATAAACACCAACAATTGGGAAACACTTGCCTGCGAGTGCTCCAACTGGAGAACAACCTTTACCGAAGGTGTCATGGGCTTTGAAGACACTCAAACTCAGGACACAAGGGAGAAACGTGCTAAGAGGAAGGCACACTTGGCAAATCCACATCGTGATCAGCTCCAGCCCGGAAACCAATGTCCCCAGTGTGGAAGGATGTGTGGATCCAGAATTGGCCTCCATAGTCACTTACGGACTCACTGTTAAAACCGTGTTTATGAGAGACAATCTTATTTGGCTACGAGGGATTGCCGAAGGAAGAAGGAGAAGAAGACGACGACGATGACATTGCTATAAACGTTTCCTAGGCTCTGGTGTCAGAGTCATGGAGTCAGCCTTTGCAGCAGAGCTGGACCTGCCTTAACTTTAGCACAGAACTGGTTCCCTTAAAATGTTTGCAGTTCTGGCCCAGGAGAATTTATACTTCCCAGCCTGAGAGACTTCCTCCTCCTGATGGCTCGTTGCTTTCAGCCAGCTTCCTGCTGGTCTCCCCAGGATCTTCCCGCCCTCCTGCTCTGAAGCAGTTTGCCAGGAAACCAGAGTTTCCCCAGAACTTAACACCTCCCTCCCGGGGTTTTGGGGTTTCAGCCTACTGTGTCACTGATAGGCATGTTTTCTGTTTTGCACGAGAAGTATAAGGAACTGGAATTTCTGATTCACTGCCATCTGCTTAGAAACAAGGCCATCCTTGCTGGTGCAGGGGCCAAGCTAAGTCTGTAACTCCTTCAGGATCAAGATAATTCTTCCAGCTCTGTTGGCACGGTTCTTATATTTGGGTCCCAGGAGGTCTGGGTTCAACGGTGTGGCACCTCTGAAGCCAACACCATCTCTCAGCTGCAGTTTCCCATTCATAAAATGAGTTGCACAGGATATGTTAAAAATAGTAAGCTGCTTGCTTCTGAATTGTTATATCTCAAAGCTGACTGGGCCCCATTAAATGTTGATAGGATTCTGACTTCTTTATGTGTTCAGAGGACTTCCTGTGTATCGGGAAGGTATGGTGTATCATTTATGAAACACATTTAGAAATCTTCTGCAGTAGAGCTTGCCAAAGTATATCAATAGCCATTAAGAAATTCTGAACATAACTGTCCAGGTTAAAGCTAGAAATAATTTAATAATAATAATAATAATAATAATTAATTTCTATTTATACCCTGCCCATCTGGCCGGGTTTCCCCAGCCACTCCCCAGCTAGGGAGATGACAGGCTGTTCTTTTTACCTAAAACAACCCCAAGGGGGCTAACTTTCCCTTTGCTTTTCCTAGAAAAACTTACAAAAGCTCTTCCTGATTCAGAAGACCTTGCTAAGCTGCTGCCTGATTTCGACAAGATTGGAGAGAGCCTCAGATCACTGTCGGGTTTCCTCACACCTGGTAAGGGAATTTTTCATCTGGTTGAGTTATACAAACCTGCCCTTTCTGGTGACTTAAATAGTGTTGGACCGAATGTTTGCTTCGCAGTGCCCAGTTCCTCCCCCCCTGGGCAGTTTATGCAGACGTGAGCATCTGAACATATTGCCATGCATGGGCAAAGGGCTCCTCTGGTTTAGTGGTGGCTGCTGGACATTTTCAGGGGCCTGCAGTCCTCCCTCCTTCCTCCCAGATTATCACATCTGAAGCAGCAGTTTCCATCGTACTGAGCCTTTGCCAATGCTTAACAGGGCCCTGCCTCTGTCACCAACACCTTCTTGGTTTAGGGACTTGGAGGTTTCTGCCATTGTGGGGCTACCACTTGCCAGGAAGCGGGCAGCGGCCTCTCTCTGTCTCCTTTCAGCAGTATTTGCCCTCCCTGAGCAGATTGCTCTTTGCCCAGGGAGTGGGATGAATGTCAGGGACGTACTTGGAAACTAATGACAAGTAGATGAGATCCTCCTATGTGCTTTCAGAGTTTTTTAGAAAAAAAGTCTATTGTAACTTTCACTTCATTGTGAATCATTCTCAACCCACCTGCCTGTATCGGTTGGCCTGCCATGTTTGGTAAGTTTGCCATTCTGTCTGTCTGGCCCTCGCAGTGTCTGAGACGGAAACGTCTCACATTTGCTTTGCCATTTGTTTGTATTTATAATTTTTATTTTCCCTTTTTTGCTGGTTTTCCACAGGTTACAATTTGATTAGTGAAGTCATAGGAGCTTCTGATCTACTTCTGTTATTAGGTGTGTAAAAAGCACTTATTTTACCTGCCCCTTAACATTCCTCCCCATCTAAAAAAATGCTAAATGCAATGCAAAGGGAGGGAAACCTGGCAAGTGTAGAAGGGCGTTTTGTCAGTTACAACGGGATATTTTTAAGTTTTATGATTTGAGAATGCCGTGAAGCTGGTCTGCTAGGTAAGATGGCTGCTTCTCATAAAAGTTCTGCTTTTCAACTTGTGCAAACAGTGTTCCTGAGGGAGAGCAGAAGATCAGTGCTTCATGTGCACCCTTCATTTTAAAACTTTCAGTTGTTTGCATAAAGGAAAACCTTTCGCTGCACCCATTGACAGACTGGCAGTCCCTTCCCCTGCCACAGTGAGGGGCATGTCTGACACACCCACACCCGCCTGCCTGCCTGCCTGAATGTTGAATACATCACACTAGCCTGGCAGTGAATTCCTGCTCCATCAGCAGAGATACTTCCTGTGAACATAGCTGAGGGTGACTGCACTGACCTCTGTGTTCTCTCTGTTGTACTGCATATTCGCTACCCCCAGCAAACAAGCAAGCCTTTCCTTAGATCATGTGTAAGCAAACTAAGGCCCAGGGGCCGGATCTGGCCCAGTCACCTTCTAAATCTGGCCCGCGGACAGTCTGGAAATCAGCGTATTTTTACATGAGTAGAATGTGTCCTTTTATTTAAAATGCATCTCTGGGTTCTTTGTGGGGCATAGGAATTCGTTCATCCCCCCCCCCAAAAAAATATATATATAGTCCAGCCCACCACAAGTTCTGAGGGACAGTGGACTGAAAAGCTTGCTGACCCCTGCTTTAGATCTCTCCAGATGTGTGTATGTGGGGGCAGATTCTTGTGTACCAGGGAGAGGAAGAACAGACTTGCATTAAGAGCCTTTGTTCTTTTTGTGCCACATGCCACGTGACGCGAGTCCTTCCTCTTTCTTCCCAGGTTCTCCCGGGGACACGGCTTTCCGAGCTACGGAACAGGGATGTGAAGCTGAGAAACAATACAAGAAGGTAAGCTTGGAAGGAGAACTGCTCACCTATGTGGCAAACAAGCGTAAGGAAATTGCAGGCCAGGGGTAGGAAATGTGTAGCTGGACTGCAGCTCCTATCCCCACCCCGACACCATTGGCCGTGTGGCCGCTGACCCTGACGGAAGTCCAGCAGCTTCTGCAGGGCAACGCGTTAGTCAAGTCAGAAACCCGTGGGACACATCTGCTTTGAAAACTCAGGCCTGGGCGTACTTGGTGCATGGAGCAATTTCCAACCTTCAGTGTTTCAACCAAGACTTCCCACATTGTCAGAAGGAGCCTCCCGGAGTTAAGAGAAATACTGCTTTAAATTTCTAGTTGGTCATGTGCAGCCCAACCAGAAGTGCATCGACTTGTGTGTCTCATTTTCTAACGTGCTCCATTCTCAGGTCAATTGCCATCTTTTAGAAACACAGCAATAAAACTGGCAAGGTGAAATGCCCAACTAAAGTCCTAAGCATTGTGGATGCACCAAAATTAATCCCCACCTGCTTTACCCGTGTTATTAAATGCTGGCCAATGCAGTGTGGATCTTTCAGCACTCCTAGAAAATGCTCAAGCTCAGGCAAGCTTCCAAAGGGTTGCTGTTTGGCCTTGACACCTAGGTGGAGTCACAGGGATGGCCTTGCAGGTCAGTCTTCATTATCCCAGTGGCATGGAGTGAAAGAGGCAGCCTCAAGGATATAATAATAATAATATAATAATTTATTATTTATACCCCGCCCATCTGGCTGGGCCTCCCCAGCCACTCTGGGCGGATTCCATAAAAACCAAAAATACAGTAAAATATCACACATTAAAAACTTCCATGAACAGGGCTGCCTTAAGATGTCTTCTGAATGTCAGGCAGTTGTTTATCGCTTTGACATCCGATGGGAGGGCGTTCCACAGGGCGGGCGCCACTACCGAGAAGGCCCTCTGCCTGGTTCCCTGTAGCTTTGCTTCTCGCAATGAGGGAACCGCCAGAAGGCCCTCGGCGCTGGACCTCAGTGTCCGGGCAGAATGATGGGGGTGGAGACGCTCCTTCAGGTATACTGATATGATATGGAAGACTCAAGCAGTTTCAGCATTTACAGGCTACAGTAGCAACTTGAGCTGTGACACAGGCATACGATGAGGCCTGCTAGATCAGACCAAAGGCTCATCCAGATTTCTTTTCTTGCAGCGGCCAACCAGATTCTTATGGGAAGCCTGCAAGCAAAACATGAGTGCAGTAGCCCTCTCGTAATTGAGGCTCCCAGGCAGTAACTGTGTGGTTTAGGATAGGCTGGGGGGCTGGGACTGGCCCAAGGTCACCCAGTGAACTTCACGGCTGAGTGGGGATTTGAACCACCCTGGTCTCCCAGGTCCTGGTCCAGCACTCTAACCACTGCACCCTAGATCCTGGGAAGGTGAGCGTGGCTGTTTCCACTCCTCATCAAGGCCTGTTAATGTGGAGTAGCCTGTTTGTTTCCGCATCATCCTCTCTCGTCAAATTAGCAAATAGCCCAAAGACCTTTTACTTAGTTCTGGGCTTGGGGGTTGCCTTGGTTACCCTTTCCCCAGAGTGTCTTAGCACTGAACTGTCGGGGCAAGAGGAACTCTGTCGGAAAAGCAGGAGCAACGTGACTCTAGTGTGTGTGCCGTTATGTAATACTTTCAGAAGGCAAAAGCCAGCCCATAAGCAGGCAGGCAAGCACACACGAAACCTGCACAGTCCTTCTTACAGGCTGCCTCTGCTGATACTCTGTGTGCCTGTGAGGAAAAGCTGATGAAACTTTGTTGCTGTGATGTTGGATTTTTGGTTGCTCTCCATTCATTCATGGGCATATGTATATTAGTATTTTTATCTGGATTTTGTTTAGTTTTCGTAAGCTACTCCGAAGACCTTTTTAATGAACATTTATCTATACATTTTCCTGGCATGGGATCTTAAAATGGCCACACCTTAAGGGGATGGGTTACGCAAGCAACGTTAGTCAGTCAGAAAGGCTGCTTAGAAGAATTTGCTCTGGCACAGCAGTCCACCAGAGAGTCAAATTTTCCATAAATTCAAGCGATGTTTCCGAGTGGCAGTTCCAGACAGAGGAGAGAGCAAAAATCCCTCTTCAGTTTCTATAGTCTCTTATGAAACAAGGTTACCTGCACAGATCCATGCGCAGGAAGAGCCTTGCAGCTGCTGGATTAGGCCAGAGGGGGCCCATCTAGTCCACCCTCCTGTTCTCATAGTGGCCAGCCAGGTGCCCAGGGCAGGATGCCCCCAAGCAGGACCCGAGGGCAGCAGCAACGCTCTTCGCCCTTGTGATTCCCAGCAAGTGCCATTTAGAGCTGGGCAGCCTCCGGTATTGGAGGTGCTAAACAGTCATTGCGACTACTTGCCTTATCCAAGTAGTTGAGTAAAAGTAAAGGGACCCTGACCATTAGGTCCAGTCGTGACTGACTCTGGGGTTGTGGCGCTCATCTCGCTTTACTGACCGAGGGAGCCAGCGTACAGCTTCTGGGTCATGTGGCCAGCATGACTAAGCCGCTTCTGGCGAACCAGAGCAGCGCACGGAAACGCCAAGCGGTACCTATTTATCTACTTGCACTTTGACGTGCTTTCGAACTGCTAGGTTGGCAGGAGCAGGGACCGAGCAACGGGAGCTCACCCTGTCGCGGGGATTCAAACCGCGACCTTCTGATCGGCAAGTCCTAGGCTCTGTGGTTTAACCCACAGCGCCACCCACGTCCCTCAGTAGTTGGGTAGAGGCCCTTAAATTTGCTGCTAGAGAGATTGTGGAGACGTTTGCTTCTTTCCAAGGGTGAAGGGAAATGCCAAGTGCTTCCTAGGGAAACTAAATTTCATCCGGGTGGGAATGTCTGGGTCCTAGCACCACACCAAGGATCATCTCACCCAACCCCCTGGAAAGCAGGAATCGCAGTCCCAAGGGCACGGCCACCTCCTTCTGGATTGCACTCCTGATCTGTGGGAAACTGCATTTGGGCTTGTGTTCCAGAATGATCACTCTTTGCCTTCTCTCTGGCCCTGCAGCTTAAATAAGGCCACCAGTACTTCAAAAGGCCTGAGAGATGGTGTCATGTGGCTGAGAAGTTGTGCCCGTTTTCATTCCACCTTTTTATAGGCCCCCCCACCTCGCTTTTCCCCCTAGAAATTGTTTATTTGTTCCTGTGGCATCACCTGTTTTTCACAGGTGAAACTTCATCATTTCTGTCTATGCACTACGACTGTTTGCACGGGTCAACTCTGTTGTAGTTTCCCAGTTTTCAGGAGAGCCTGATACTTTCCACTACGGAAGCAGTGAAAATTAGGGAGAAATTTAGAAGAGACCTTGAGCAAGCATCGATTCCTCCTGGTACCATAGAGGTCTCTCACTAGTGTGATGCTTGCAGCACCCTTAAGCATTATGGGAATTTTCAGGAGTGGCCAATAGGATGGCAAAGACCTCCTGCAACCATGAAGATTAAAAGCGTTCTTTCCAAAACAAATTTGAGCTGGACTCTGAGATGCTATATATGGTTGTAGGCAGTTCATATATGGCTTTAAAAAGAATGGCACATTCACCTCAATGGAACGCTTGCCTGGGTCTGTCCTGCCGCATGATCCCCAGCGCTTCCCTTGGCATCTTATGAGAGGCTGCTTAACTGACATGCGCCCTTTGAACAAACACTCAGCCTTGACTTTTCCCACCCACCCAAGTCACTCTTGCTTACTCTGCTCAGTTTCCTTTGAGTTTGTCCCTCCACTTCCACCCAGTGAAACGGAGGCTGTTCCAGGATCTCCTCCCGATGCAGGTTGCCAGTGATGGCATTTGACAAAAGGACCATGCACGAAACAGTCTGGTGCTGTGACATTTGGCTTATTTTTCGTCAACAAGGGTGTCCTAATGGAAGGCAGGTTCTCTTTCAGAGCAGTTGCCAAGATACAGAGCCACTTTGTTGTAGAAGACTGCTAACACGACTCACCTTTTTTTTGGAGTATAGCAAGGATCTGTGAACTTTGTTTCTTAAGGCTTCTCGTTCCAGGCCTGTTGTGTTTGTGTTTGCAAAATGCATCTCCCAGGAGAGTGGATTTTGATTTCATGTGTACCTTCTTGTCTCTGTGCATGTGTGTGCTGTGTCCCCACCCTGAAGTAGTTTTCTAGCCATGGGGCTGTTTAAGAGAGTTCAGAGAAATGAAATTATTACTACTTTTTTGCAATATTGGGTCAGTTGTTCCATTGCATTTGTACACATTTGTGGCGTAGCTGAATTGGTGTGCTGATGTGTGTATTTCAGTTTCATGCTGAAGGCATGATCTTCCCAAGTAAGAAAAGATTCGCTTTCCTTGTTATTCCACAGCTTCTTGGCTTCTGAGGTTTTAAAAAGCTCTTCAGACAACGCCCATTTTCTTTTGGCTTGGATGTTGCCTATTTCCATAAGCAGCACTGGGGACAAGGGGACAGGCTGGAGCTCAGGGGCAGAGCGTCTGCCTTGCCTGAGGAAGCTCCCAGGTCTAATCTCTGGCATCTCCAGTTCTGGCTGGGTGTCTCCTCTGCCTCAAACCCTGGAGAGCTGCTGCCAGTCTGTGTAGACAATACTAAGCTAGATGCACCAATGCTCAGAGTTGGCACAAGGCAGCAGCTTCCTACATTCCAGTGACAGCTGTCCCTTCAAAGCACCTGTGTCTTGACAACACTGTTTAAAACATCTTTAACTTTAATTCTGAGGGCCTCCCCAGGCTGCTCTTTCATTGTGGGCCTTTGCAGCTGCACGTCGTGGATGCAGTCATAGGACATTTTTCGCAGCAAACTGCAGGACAGGTGCCAATTGCAGCTGAAACAGTATAACCTCCCTGATAGCATCGTGAGCGTGAATCGTCATGGATGCACAATAAAAAGGACGTCTGAAGGGGGCCCTAAACGTCCCTAGGAAGCAGCAGCTGTGGCGCCTCGATTTCTGTTCCTCTCTTGTTGTGTCTGTGTGAGCCCCCCCCCTTTTCTGTGCCCCCGCCTGCCTTTGTGTTGCACCCTTTGGTTGACCATTATCGCTCCCCTCACCTCCATATTTTTCTCCCTTCTCCTCCTCGTTGTAAACTTGCGGCAGGGTCTCCTGGGCGAGCTCATTCTCTTGCAGCAGCAAATCCAGCAGCACGAAGAGGAGGAGGCGCGCAGAGCCACTGACCAATTGGGCCCAGGCTCCTCCCAGCAGAAGCGAAAGGTGATGACTGAAAGGCACTCCCCCCCTCCCCAAAAACCGGTTCTAATCTAATCCACTCCATCCCGATCGGACGCTGTGATTTGATACCAACCAATGAATCCTTGATTCGACTCTGGTTGTGGGCCCTGGCAGCGATCTTGCAGCAGTTCCTTGTCTGTGAAAGTTTTCTCATCGCACTGTCTTTCAGCATGGCGATTTCTGGGGTTTTAATGCTGTGATCAAAACTGATGTTCGTCGTGGGAAAGATTTGCACTTAATTTTGTTTCTGGAACCCCACTAACTTGTTCTACTAACTTTTAACTGAATATTCATAGCCTCATAGAGCTGAAAGGGACGCGGAGGGTCATCTAGCCCAATCTCGGGGAATGATTAAAAAAAAATCAGATTTTTGTTATTGAAATGATTAATTTTCTCCTTCCAGTAACGTACAGCAGAAAAGTTGTCCAAATATAAACAGTTAACTTATTAAACCTCACAGTAATTTAATAATTATCTGTCTATGTATTTCTAATAATATAATCAAATCAGTACTTTTTGATATAATTGTAAAAACTACTCTGAAAATTTATTATTCCAAAAACGAAGCCTTCATCTGGTTGTAAATATTAAGATTATACGAGCAAGAATGAGCCTGTAAAAAAATGATATAAATCAAGTCTTACTGACTAGTGATTTAAATCATGATTTAAATCAAATCCACCCTGCTTGGGCAGTGCAGGAATCAACAGCCACAGCACCCCTGGCAGAGGGAGGGCCACCCATTGTCAAACGGCTCTATAAAGGGAGATGGTCCCTGCCTATCTCTCTCTCTCTGAATCCCCAGCGCTGGAAACAAAGGGGAGGGTGGATGCCTTTATGAGCTCCCTGGAAGCACCTGGTTGGCCCCTGCTGGAAGTAAGAGAGACCCTTTTTGGTCCGATCCAGCACAGCTCTCCTCCTCGCACTCTTCTTGGTCATAATTTTGAATAGGGAAATTGCTTAGGGCAGCTTTTAAGTAGGGGCTGCGATGGGCTTGCTGGTTTATATGACCAATATGGGACATAACTCCTCTGCTTGTGGGCGAGTTGGCAGAGATATCCATTCATGCTATGGGCTGCAAATTTGAGCAATGGGCCCGTGAAACAGAGCCCAGTATAGACACAACACACACAGGTATTATGACTTTTCACTGGAGCGCCCTTGGATGCTATTTGTGAGTGGGGACCAAATCCTGTGAAGTCGAGGAGCAGCTGTAGAAATGGGGAACTGCCAGAAGCAGAAATGTCTTCAGAAACCAGGAGCGCCTAGGCTTGCTTGCATTTGGATCAGTGCCTCAGAAGCCTCTTTGTTCCATGCTGCCATATAGTGGCGTCTGCACAGGCTTTCCCTTGGCTTCTGTGCAGGGAGAGAGTGCTGCCCTTTTCGCTCGACTGTTGGGAACAGCTTTGCATGTCCCGCTGTGTGTACAAAGCTGGCTCTGGCTTCAGCACAGAGAAACGTTCTCCGTTGCGCAGAGGTCTGCGTGTGCCAGAGTGCCCTGCAGAGCTGTGGATTGTGGCCAGCCTGCCCATGGTGTTGGCAGGAGCTACTGAAAATGTGACAGCAGCTACAAGGCACAAAGCACGTGTCCTGCACAAGCAGCGATGGAACGAGCAGGATCTTGCAGTTGGCCCCTGTGCTGTGTGCCATTCCTGCTCTTTGCTCCTGGTGCCCCCAGACACCTCCGCTTCCCTCCCCAGCCTTCGCTATTTAGATAATAGATGACACGTCTGAAGGGTGTGTCAGTGGCTGCTTCGTTCCTCGCTTTCATAAAGGACGATCAACTGCCTCCATCCTGAGAATCTAAAAAGGTGCATCACCAGCCTCCCTGGGGCGCGTGTGCCTGCTTCTTTTATCACCTGCAGCGTTTGGCAAATAAGTTAGAATGGGAGGATTCCAGCTCCTTCTCTCAGAAGTTGTCAAACAAAAGTCAGGTCCCTTCATGTAACACACACACACACACACACACACACACACACACAGCGAAAGCTCCAGGGTCACAATAAAAGGCAGTGTGAGCCCACCTCTGCTTTGTGTTCAGATTCCAAAGGGAAAAGGAGCTCCCCCCAAAAGAAAAGATCATTCATGCACAGAGGTGTGCCCATGCATGTGTGCATGAGAGAGAGATTATATGAGAGCAAATTAAACATGCAAGTTTTCACTAGGCAGTTAGTTTTCTCATGCACCTAACAAACACAGTTCTTGAAGCAGGGAAATCACCCGTTCTGGGTTTGTTTGAGTGTGCTCAGTCAAGCCTATAGTTGCCAGTGGAAGCTGTTATGTTTTTTGTTTCTTCTTGGTCATTAAAACCGGACCTTTTACATGCTCAAATCGTGGTTATAAGTTGCTTCCTGTTTCAAAGGAGGGCTTCTGGCTGCCCCTTGGGAGAACGGCCAGCCCTAGAGGCCTGCTGGCAAGTGTTGGCCATCTTTGAGATGAGTGGCTGGGCCTCCAGCCCATCTGCAGGGAAGCGTGTCGTTAGCCATGTCCAGCATCTCTTGGTGGGAGCCAGAGCCACTCACATCAGTGTCCTTTCTCTGTCCTCATGTGCTGGGTGGCCCTTGGGATGTTTGAGATCAGGCACTTTTCCATCTTGAGTGTCCTCCAGCTTCTCCTGGACAGCAAAGTTGTTTGTGGCCTTGACTGCCATTTCTGGAGCCAGAGCAAAAACAGGACTTCCTTTTTTTATATCAAAACCAGCTCTAGAAATCTCTTTGCATATGTGGAGCAGAACAGAAGGCTTTGCCACACTGGAACAGTTCACTGCAAGACCCAGTTGACCCTGGGGTGTTAGTGGGCCGTGAAGTACATGGAGCAAAGCCTGGCAGCCAAACGAGGGCTCCTTCCCAAACTCCTGGGTCTTTACTTATCCTGGCACATGCCTCCCACCGCTGGGCATCAGCGCACATACGAGACCCTCCAAGTTCCAAGGGGCTTCAGCAAATAACCCTGCACTTGGGGGCATCTAGAATGACGATTTAACGAAGACTGCACCTGATGCTGCCTTGCCAAGTAACGTTATGGGGTTGTAAGGTGATAGTCAGAAGTGTTGACTTTTCTTTTTAAAGGGGTGAGTGAGTGTACCAGCCATTATCTCAGGTTGCGTGAATTAAAGAGATGCCTGAGTTTCTTTCTCTCTCGCTTTGACAAAGAGAACTTGATTGGAGGTTCTTTCTTTGTCTCCTGAACATAAAATAAGCCCAAGACATTTGTGCTTGTGCCTCTTGCAGGTTTCTGACAAAGAAAAGGTAGATCAGCTGCAAGAAGAACTCCTGCGCACTCAGGTAGGGCGGCCTGGCCGGTCTTACAGCCACAATTCACACGGGGCAAAGGAATTGGGTCTGACTCGCTGCAAATCCATTAACTTCCAGAGCTTTGATGTCGACCAGGACCTATATTGGGGGGCGGGGGCGGGGGGGTATACTATTTAAAAGCGAAACAAACAAAAGGTGAACGGCGCAACTCTGTGGGTGGCCGATCACAGCCACCTGTTTGTGTCATTCATGGGGATGCAACCTGAGAGAAGAGATGTTGCAGACTCCAAATGATGTTGTGCCAGTGTGCAAATTCCATTATTCAAGTTGAAAAGACCTTCCCAAATCTTTTCATTTTTTTTTTATTTAGGTCTATCAGCCTCTTACATCACTGCCCAATTTTCTGCTGAATTCAGTCTGAATCCTTCCTTAAGTGGCTGAGCTTATGATTTCAGCCAAGGATGCCACGCTTTCTGTTGAATTTCATCAGTCAATTCAAATTTGTTCTATTACATTTCATTAGGTCAGAGTCTATTAAGCAATTCATTTATTTATGACAGTGGTGATGTAACTATGCTGCTAGGGCAGATTTGGTCCAAGAGAGCAGGGCCCTGTTCGCACTGAGTCTCCTTTCCTTTGCCTTCATGCTCCCCTCCTGACCCTGACATCCAGGCCACCACCACCAGTTTTCAAAGTTGTATTATTGTTTTGCAGTTGAAATATCAACGGATGCTTGAGCGCTTAGAGAAGGAGAACAAAGAGCTCAGGAAGATTGTCTTGCAGAAAGATGACAAAGGCATCCACCAGAGGAAGCTGAAGGTATTCCCCCCCCCCCCCGCATGCAAAACTTCACCAGTCTCCCCAGTTCCGGGCCTTCCATTCCATCTTTGCTCGTCTGTCCTTGCCCCTTTCAGCAGTGATTTTGGTTAATAAAAAAAAAAAAGCCATTCCCTTGAGTGATTGGTGCTCCTTCTGAAGGGAAATGCCAGTTGGATTCTGTGATCCTATCCTGATGTCCTATCCTGGTTCCAGTGTAAGACGCAGCCTGCTCTGCCATTATTGGTCTCGTAGATTAAGCTGCAGGGATAAGAGAACAAACAGACACTTGCTTCTCGGTGCTGCTGGAAGCCTTTCTGATGCTTTGGGCACAGTTCAAGTTAGCTTTCTTTCTTTCATTCTTTGGTTCTTAGAAATCTTTGATTGACATGTATTCTGAAGTCCTGGATACTCTGTCGGATTACGATGCCAGCTATAACACCCATGATCATTTACCTCGGGTAAGTTAGCGATCAGTGTTCAACCATTTCACATTTGCAATAAAGGCTGGCATAGCTTAATGCCCTCCAGTTCAGCCACATGTGTTGTTGTTTTTTAACAGTAGGTAGGCAACGTTTTGCTTGATTTGGGGACATCTTAAGTAAAAAGTAACTAGTTTCTATGTTTTCTATAAATAAATACAATGGGATCTTCTGAAAAGCTTCCCCCAAACAACAACAACATTTATACCCAGGCTCAGGGCGGCTAACACCAATAAAATCACAGTAAAAACATAATAGGGGGGAAAGAGAGGGGGGACCCTAATTTTAGATACAGGTTAAAATGCAATTTAAAATGCAGCCTCATTTTAAAGAAGCTGATAAAACAAGACCATAAGGGGAGGGAAACATAAGGGTCAGACTGAGTCCAAACCAAAGGCCAGGCGGAACAGCTCTGTCTTGCAGGCCCTGCGGAAAGATGTCAAGTCCTGCGGGGCCCTAGTCTCTTGTGACAGAGCGTTCCACCAAGTCGGGGCCAGTACTGAAAAGGCCCTGGCCCTAGCTGAGACTGCTTGGGACCTCCAAAGTGTTGTTATTTGTGGACCTTAAGGTCCTCCATGGGGCATGCCAGGAGAGGCGGTCCTGTAGGTACAAACAACTAAGGAAGCCAATTCCTGATATTTAATCTGGAGTAGCCTGGTAAAAAGTGCACTTTGTCACGGGTCGAGGGTGGGTGGCCCATGAGTTTTGGTTAAAAGCTGGTGATTCAAATGTTTCCCTTTAAGGTTGTAGTGGTTGGAGATCAGAGCGCTGGCAAAACCAGTGTGCTGGAGATGATTGCTCAAGCCCGGATCTTCCCTCGAGGCTCTGGGGAAATGATGACTCGTTCGCCCGTTAAGGTGAGAACACCGAATTAGCAAGTGTTGGAGGCACAAAAGGCATCTGTCACCCTCCTTGTGTAAACTTGCTCCAAGGGTTTTGCTTTAATTGCTGCCTGCTGCTGTTTCTCCCCTTGGTCCACTAGGTCACCCTCAGCGAAGGTCCCCACCACGTGGCCATGTTCAAGGACAGCTCTCGAGAGTTTGATCTGACCAAGGAGGAGGATGTAAGTTGGAAGAAATAACTTTTTGCAGCCGTGGAAATCATTTGCATTGATCACTTTCATTGGGGGTGAGATAGACATATGTCTTGAACATTCCTTTCCCTGTTAAAATGAAGAAAATAGAACTGGACACCTGTTGAAATGGTGCTGTGCCTGGTTTCTTTCTTTCTTTTTTTATAGATTTTTACCTATAAATTTTCTATAGATTTTTATCTATAAATTTTCTATAGATTTTTATCTATAAATTTTCTATAGATTTTTATCTATAAATTTTCTATAGATTTTCCACAATGATAACACAAACCACAAAGCAAAATGATACACAAAAACAGAAAGAAAGAAGGGGGTGGGAAGGAACAATAAACAGATAAACAATAACATCAAACTTAATTCTTCACAAATCCAACCTTTTAAACTATCTTGGTTGACTTCCCCAAGTCCCTCCCTTCTGAGTTTCCTTGTAGTTAAAAGTAACAGCTTTCCAATATCATTATTAAACTAAAACAATTTCCAATTATAGTCCATCTTATTCACTTTTCTTAACATTCTAAATCCCATTTATTTAATTATAACTTAGTTTAATCCTAGGCCTATTTGTTTCTTTCAAGTAATTTCTAATTTTTTATATTACAATATTTATTCAAATAGTCCTTAAATTTCCTCGCTGTGCCTGGTTTCTGGTTGTGACCTCTGATTGTGCTTAAACAGCTGGCAGCCTTGAGGAATGAGATTGAGATCAGGATGAGGAAGAGCGTGAGTGACGGCTGCACCGTCAGCACTGAGGTGAGGCCTGGCTGCTGACTTCTTTCCGCTGGTCCCAGAGCTCCCTTGGGTCCCCACCCAGAAATTGCTTGTGGGGCGCCCTGAGCATTGTTATCTACGTAGTATTTTTCTTTGCAAAGGAGGCTCCCTGACGTGGAAATCGCTCTTCCTTGTTTCCTTCTGCAGACCATCTCCCTCAGTGTTAAGGGTCCTGGCCTGCAAAGGATGGTGCTGGTGGATTTGCCAGGCGTCATTAGCGTGAGTAGGCGATGCTTCTCCTCCTCTGATCCTCCCCATTCCTTTGAGATGGGCTGCAGTGGCCTTTTCCCAGGCTCCTGGGTCCACCTGGGACTTCAGGCAGAGGCTTCTCAGTGGTGGCGCCTTCACTTTGGAATCGCCCCCCTGAATTTTGGTGCAGAGTGAACATGTCTTTACAGGAAGGTTGGCGGGAGGTGGAATTTTTTGCAATCTTTTTTTGCATTTAATTTTGATATAATTTGTTTTCTCATCCGGACACTCCTTTCCCAGCCTTATTACTAATTGTGATTTAATAATAGTAGTAGTATTAGTAATAATAAAAATAATAATACGTTTATTATTATTATTATTTATAACCCGCCCATCTGGCTGAGTTTCCCCAGCCACTCTGGGCAGCTTCGAGCAGAATATTAAAATATAATGATTCCTCAAATATTGAAAGCTTCCGTAAACAGGGCTGCCCTCAGATGTCTTCTGAAAGTCATATAGTTGTTTCTTTCCTTGACATCTGATGGGAGGGCGTTCCACAGGACGGGCGCCATCACCGAGGAGGCCCTCTGCCTGGTTCCCTGTAACTTCGCTTCTTGCGGTGAAGGAACCACCAGAAGGCCTCGGAGCTGTACCACAGTGTCTGGGCAGAACGATGGGGGTGGAGATGCTCCTTCAGGTATACTGGAGCGGGGCCGTTTCGGGCATTAAAAGTCAGCATCAACACTTTGAATTGTGCTTGGAAACATCCTGGGAGCCAATGCAGGTCTCTCAGGACCAGCGTTATATGGTCTCGGCGGCCGCTCCCAGTCACCAGTCTAGCTGCTGCATTCTGGATTAGTTGCAGTTTCTGGGTCACCTTCTAGTTGCAGAAGTCCAAGCGTGAGATAACCAGAGCATGCCCCACTCTGGTGAGTCAGCCTGCGGGCAGGGAGGGTCTCAGCCTGGGGGCCAGATGCAGCTGGGAGACAGCAGTCCTGGACACTGGAAAACTATAAACTATAGATGTGTTCTTCCACTATCACCAGCTGCCTGGTTGGCCCCAATTTCTCCTAGTAACCACAGGGAGGTGGGAAAATGCTGGGCTCATATTTATAGATAATGCTTTCTCTCTCACATACATATCATAATGTTAGGGCCGCTCTGATGGTCTTACCACCAAGAACTGGAGAACAGTTCTTGAAATCAGCGGCCGAGAGACGTTGTGCAATCTCTTTCCAAGAATAGCTTTTTTAAAAGAAGCTGGGCATGCACCTGCCAGGGATATCTGATCCATCTGTTTCCTCCCAGTTCTTTGACACCACCTGTTGCTCTTTTCCTGCCCTTCCTGATCTCTTTCCCCAGACGGTGACATCAGGGATGGCCCCGGACACAAAGGAGACGATCTTCAGCATCAGCAAAGCCTACATGCAGAATCCCAACGCCATCATCCTTTGCATTCAAGGTAAAGGAGGAGGTCGGAGAGCAACTGGAATGTCCTTGTGTCTTGGCTAATGAATCCCTGCAACGTCACCCGTCGTTCCCTCTGGTTCTTGGGAGACTTGTTTGTGAGCACAGACCACGCCTGCTCCTTCTTTGGGGTTGGGGTTGTGGAGGACAGGGCAGGGCAGAGGGATGGAATTAGCTGGCCACCTCTTCTTTTTCTGGCTTTGGGACTCTGTTAATCAGTTGTGCTTTCTGGGGCCCCAGGTTGAGCCACTAGGCATGTTCTGGGTTTAGCTCTTACCTTCAAATGAGTTTAGATTCAGGTGGTAGCCGTGTTGGTCTGATGCAGTTGAAATAAATTTTAAAAAATTTAAAATTGTCCAGTAGCACCTTGTTGTTTAGTCGTTTAGTCGTGTCCGACTCTTCATGACCCCATGGACCAGAGCACTCCAGGCACTCCTGTCTTCCACTGCCTCCCGCAGTTTGGTCAAACTCATGTTCGTAGCTTCGAGAACACTGTCCCACCATCTCGTCCTCTGTCGTCCCCTTCTCCTTGCACCCTCCATCTTTCCCAACATCAGGGTTTTTTCCAGGGAGCCTTCTCTTCTCATGAGGTGGCCAAAGTCTTGGAGCCTCAGCTTCCAGTAGCACCTTAGAGACCAACAAAGTTTGTAAACCTGTTGACGACTGTTAAAGACTGTTTACAGGTTTACTATACCCATTGAGCTTATCACCCATCTCCTACCACCTTTCTGAGAAAACCCCCACCCCACCCTCCCACTATATACAGTCATACCTCGAGTTAAAGTTGCTTCAGGTTGAGTGTTTTCGGGTTGCACTCTGCGGTGACCTGGAAGTAACAGAATGCGTTACTTCTGGGTTTCGCTGCTTGCGCATGCGCAGACGCTCAAAATGACGTCACACGCATGCGCAGAAGTGGTGAATCGTGACCCACGCAAGTGCAGACGCGGGTTCCATTCGCTTCAGGATGCAAACGGGGCGCCAGAACGGATCCCGTTTGCATCCAGAGGTGCCACTGTATAAGGGTCTGGTTTCTTCTGTTTCAGGGTATCTGAAGAAGTGTGCATGCACGCAAAAGCTTATTCCCAGAACAAACTTAGCTGGTCTCTTAGGTGGTGCTACCGGACAATTTTTTTATTTATTTCGACTTCAAATGAGTTGTTCAGCTCCTGTCTTGTTTCTGAAAGCGCTTTGCATGTTCTGCGAGGTTATGGCCAATCTGCTTCGTTTCCAGATGGGTCTGTGGACGCCGAGCGCAGCATCGTCACCGACATGGTCAGCCAAATGGACCCTCAGGGCAAGAGGACTATCTTTGTTCTGACAAAAGTGGACCTTGCCGAGAAAAACGTGGCCAGTCCAAGCAGGGTGAGGAAGAGGAGGGTGTGGAGGAATGATTTTGTCCCCCTGGTGCTGACGGGGCCTCCGGGGAGGGCAAGAAGAGAAACGTCTGCTGGAAGATCCCAAAGGGACTTCTTATTTTGACAACTTGATTCCCAGAGCTGTGGGGAGTCATTAGATGGCTTCTGTTCTCAAAGGTGTCAGATCTGCTCTGCAGACACTGCGTGACTCTGATGTTTGCTTCCGGATTGATCTGATTGATCAAAAATATTTATAGAAAGGGACTCCAAGGGTCATCTAGTCAAAACTTCTGCAAAGCAGGAATCACAGCTAAACAACCCGTGAGAGACGGCCATCCAGCCTCTGTTGAAAAGAGTCCACCACCTTCTGAGGGAGTCCATTCCACTGTTGAGCAGCTCTTAATGTCAGAAAGTTCTTCTTAATGATTAGTCGGCATCTCCTCTCTAGTCGTGTTATAATGCTTAATACTTAGAATCCCTACGTGGTTTACATAAAATCGTATGAAATTACAATTTAAAGTTACTTCTATATCAGACATAAAATACATCTCCGCAGTGATGCACGAGCCAGATAGGGCCCCTGCAGACAGATGAGTCCCTGGGAGGTGCTTAAAATCCACTGCACTTCCTTCTGAATGGGCTGAGCATGGGGGGGGGGGCAGCCCCAGAGGGTTGGGGCCACAACTGAGAAGGCTGAGGGTTTTGTCCAGGCTTTTCTCTGGCTGCGGCACCAGGAAAGCTTGCTTTCTGAAGTCAGCAAACTTTTATGTGCTCCCCCAGGAGGAGTGTGTAAGTGGAACTGTTTCTTCTTTGTTTCCTTTGATAAAAACAGTTACAGCTTACGAGAAAAGTTGCTATCTGGGAAATAGTCCGATATTTAAATATTCTCAGGTTTTTTGTGTGTAAGAGTGTTATAATTGCTCCTTTTACAAAAGAGCCTGCTCCTTATTTTTAAAGCACTCTGCAGATAGTTAAAGCATGCATCAGCCCTGGGCTGTTGCAGAGGGTTTTTAAAGACCCCGGAACTTGATTCAGGACTGGCTTTCCATGGCTTTTGGACAGGGCTAGGACGCCCCCCCCCCCCAAAGCTGGCCGCTCTTTCCTATTTTGTATCTTCTTTCACTGTTTGAGTAAAGGAAAGCTGAGAATTCCTACGAGATCAGCTTTGCTGCTTTCCGGTTTTCACAGATCCAGCAGATAATTGAAGGCAAGCTCTTCCAATGAAGGCTCTGGGGTATTTTGCAGTCGTCACAGGAAAAGGTAATCCTAGCTTTGCATTGGGCCAGCGGGTGGAGGCAGAGGCGTATGCTGGACAGTGCTGAGTGTGTGTTATTCTCTCTCTCCCTCTCCCTCTGCCCCCCAACCCGGCTGCCTCTAGGAAATAGCTGCGAAAGTATTGAATCTATTAAAGAGTACGAAGAGGAATTTTTCCAAAACTCCAAACTACTCAAGTATGCCACTATTTTGTTCCTGTTTTTGAAGTGCCTCTTGCTGGTTTTAGTGCCAGTGGCAGTGCAGGCTTTAGGGGGTGGGTTGTGTGAAACAGGGTCTGAAATGGTTTGTCAAGAAGCAAAGTGTGATTGCCTGAGGGGTTGCTTTGAACGGGCCGTCCTGGAAGACTTTCCGACTCCACATGACTTCCCTGATGAGCTTGTGGAAGCTTTCGTCACCAAAATGGGGGCCTTTCAGCCCTCAGAAATGTCGCGTGCGGGGTTAATCCTGTGCGAGAGCCCAGTGGAAATGCCTCGGGAAGAATCCAGAAACTCCCAACCTCTGATCTGGAGGAATGCAGTGGTTCTGTGCAACGTTCCCGGAGGGATTTGGACCTGAAGATAATTCCTAGGAAAACCTAACACGGTTGTATCCAAGCAATGGCTTTGTGTTAATGGAAAACACTTTGTGTCTCGGAAAGCTGCCCCCTGGGGTTCAGGGACTCTTGGTAACAGTGTGGGAGAACTTCAGTAGGTGGGAAAGATCAGCAGAAATTGGGGCACTGGGCCTTTGCATGAGTGCAAATGATTTCCATTAATGCAAAGCTACCACTGGATACAACCGCAGGTGAATGGACTCTGCCTTCCTTTAAGGTCCAGCCCTGTGCCAGGTCCTTCTGTGTCTGCTCCCTAGTCCTTAGTCCTTGTGCTTTAGGGCTGGAGCTTCATTCTGGCTGAGAAGTTGCGTCCTGCCACAGGACAGGAGCACAGAATGTGCTTCTACGCTCTGCCCATCTTTCTGTTCTGGGCAGGCTTCTCAAATTCACGCCTGTGGTCAGCAGCCCTCCTTTCCCTGGACCGTAGGATGAGCCCCAGTTTGGAGCTAATGGGGGGACATGGGGTGCGCATCATCCCCAGCTTTGCACAGTGAAACTGGGGGACTATATGCCCCTTCTCCCATGTTGGGGGAACAGCAGGGGCCCAGGAGCCACCCATTTGTGGATCCCTATTTCTGATGTCTCACAAGGTCCTCCTTCCTAAATGAAATTATACAGTCTCTTGGCTCCAGAGGAAAACCATAGAATTGCAGAGTTGGACACCCAGGATCACCTAGTCCATGGGTAGGCAACCTAAGGCCCGTGGGCTGGATCCGGCCCAATCGCCTTCTCAATCCGGCCCGCGGACGGTCCGGGAATCAGCGTGTTTTTACATGAGTAGAATGTGTGCTTTTCTTTAAAATGCATCTCTGGGTTATTTGTGGGGCATAGGAATTGTTCAGTCCCCCCCCAAAAAAAAATATAGTCCAGCCCCCCACCAGGTCTGAGGGACAGTGGACCGGCCCCCTGCTGAAAAAGTTTGCTGACCCCTGACCTAGTCGAACTCCCTTCAATCACTACTACTACTGCTACTACTACTACTACTAAGAGTAATAATAATAATAAATTTATTAATTATACCCCGTCCATCTGGCTGGGTTTCCCCAGCCACTCTAGGCGGCTTCCAACAGAATAATAATAATAAGCAATAAAACCTCAAACATTTGTGAAATGGGACTGTCTACTCTGGTGTATTTTGAGGTGTGGACTGCAATGTGATTCCCCCCGCCCCAGCACCAATACCAGTTTCCCCCCTTTCCCCGCGTTTGCTTCTTTAATTTTTTTCTTGGGGAAGGTGTTCTCTCGCTCGCAAATCCGCCCCAGTGTTTGTGTTGCTGTCGTGTCCTTTGCAGGAACTGCATGCTGAAGGCCCACCAGGTGACCACGCGGAACCTCAGCCTTGCCGTGTCGGACTGTTTTTGGAAAATGGTGCGAGAGTCTGTGGAGCAGCAGGCGGACGCTTTCAAAGGTAACGGTTGCGCTGGCAGATCTGTAGGAAGCCTTGGACTAAGGAGTCCGTCTCTTCTCAGGAGCCAGGCATGTCCTGGTGTCTGATTCCCCTGGATATGGGGAGTATTGCTGGGGCCCCCCCCAGGATTCTTACTGGAAACAGCTTTCTGGACTTATCCAAAAAAGTTGGAATGTTAGTCTGTTGTTGTTTTAGCTTTTTGAAAGTTTTGAATGGTGGTCATTTTTCCTTACTGACAATTTTATTGTTTTACCGATTTTGTAAACTGCTTTGAAGTTTGTGTACAAATTGTATGCAATCAATAGAAATCTGTGCTCTGCAAACATTTTACGCTGCGCAGCAGTTTGCGAGTGACACACCGTTGACGGACAGGATCCACGTGTCGGAATGCGCTTGCCTTCCTGTACGAAGGCAAAACGTGTGCTGGGGGGTTGGAAGGGACGTGTTTCCCAACCTGGTTCTTTAATATGCCGTGCATTTTTTGGCATGGGCCTTGTTTCTGCATCCCAGGAGGAAATGCATTGCCTAGAGCCCCACATAAGAAGGAAAGCCAGGTTGGATCTCGCCTGCAGAAGAGGATGGGTGGAAACTGACTTTCCAGCCCCCTTCTTTCCCTGGCAGCCCCCCCCCCCAGGCTCCCTTGAGGGGGAGGCGTGAAAACGGCGTGGAGGCACCTCCCGTATGCGTGGGCTCCAGGCACAGAAAGCCCCCCCCTCAATTTCCACAATTGCCGCAGCTCATTCAGCCGGGTCCCCATGGGAGCCTTTGTGGGGCAGGAGATGCTGCCGAAAGGGGCAGGGTCAGGAGTGGGCTCCTGCCCCCTCACTTCGGAGGGTGAATCTCTGGCTCCAGATAAACTAGGCACGGATTTGACCTCCCTTCCCCATAATTTCTCCCCATAGCAACCCGCTTTAATCTGGAGACTGAGTGGAAGAATAACTACCCCCGCTTGCGAGAACTTGACCGGGTAAGTCCATTTCCTGGCTGAGAGCCAGAGGGGGCCTTGATCTCCATCCTCTTTTTGGGAGAGCTTGGATGCGAGAGGGTCGGCCTGTGTTTTACCCAGGCTGGGAGCCCCGTCTTGCTGGCACTGCTGCTGCAGTTACGGAGTAGCTTCCTCAGGGAGACCTGTTGATCAGTACTCCTGCGTAGCTTTTTGTGCTTTATCCTGGGACGCACATGGGCTGGGGGGGGCAGGAGGGAGTGGGGAGGAGGAAGGACTGGACCTGGGAGGGGAATCGGGGCGTCTTGAGCAGCTCAATGAACACCAGAACCGCTGCTTGAGGGGTCTCTGTGTTTGAAGGGGCCCACTCAAGGGCCCCCAGTTAATTTCATTGAAGGAGCAGCCTGTCGTTTGCCCATCCTTGAGCTTGATAGCCCCAGGGCTCTGAATCCGCACAGCATTTCCGTGTACGTTCATCCGTCTGACTTATCGCAAGCGTCTCAATGACTACAAACACTTCTCGTTTTTCTGTCTAGAATGAACTGTTTGAAAAAGCAAAGAACGAAATCCTCGATGAAGTCATAAGCTTGAGCCAGGTGACACCAAAGCACTGGTACAGTAATTAGTTGGAGATTTTTACTTTGCTTCTTCGTTCTGCGCTGGCGTTTCGGTTTATAGAGCAGGTTCTGCGAAGATTATAATAGGCTGCCCTGTGTTCTCCGTGATCCTGTGATGATGCCATATATCTCAGAAAAGCCCATCTGGGATCCATCCACTCCTTTCTCCCGATGAAACGTTTATTGGTTCTGCGTGTCTGACTTTGGCAACCCCTGGCCATGCTGGGGGAGGACTGGCAAGGTTGCTGCTCTCTTAAGAGAAATCCTAGCGTCTGCTGTTGACTTTTCTTCGTCCATGAGTTATAGAAGCCAGCAGAGAGGGGAGAGTCTTTTCTAAATTTAGGCAAGAGCAACTCTTTGCAGAAGGCCGTAAATACTCTGCTCTTTACTTAAATGAAAACCAAAAGAAAGAGGAAAGAGAGAGAGTCTGCGCCCTGAAAAGTTGGACTTTATGAAAGGCATGGGAAGCTGTGTCTGTGTGCATCTTCTGCCCAGTTTGGCTCCCTTTGCCGGCCTTTAAGGCAAAGACCAATGGCTGCAGGGCTATGTGTGCATGTGCAGCCCCTCCGGCAATTTCGCAAGGAGGTGCTGCTGGAACACTGGCCCAGTCCTCCTTTGCAGCCTTCAGGGCTGGGGACCGCCAGGAAGTTGACCCTCTTGGATCCCCTTTTAGCAACACAGTGTTTTCTCGCTGGAGACGCTTTTCTCCCAGGCAGGCAGTTCCTTGTGGAGCGTTTTGCACAAAGCCTTTTAGCTCCTCTCCTGCCAGATCAGGCCAGGAGGCTTTGATGGAGGAACTGAAACGTGTCGCGTTCCGGGAACAGCGTTCGCTGAACGGATTAATTTGCTTTGGGCCAGAACTTGACGTAAACCATCGTTTGGCCAAACACAATAGTAATCCATGCTTTTAGAGGGTTTTTTTTTTCTTTTTCTTTAAATTCTTCAGTTCCTTTTAAGTTCTCATAAATAACTCTTGCAAGGCTTGAAAACCTGGCTGCCTGCTCTACTGTTAAAGAGCAGAGCAAGTCTGAACCCATCTGGGCTCACTTGGCAATTTTGAGCTTAGCACAAAAGGGAGACGCTCTCCGTAGCAATCAAGCAAAGGCTGGAGTTTAGCTGGCCTTACTAAGAAGCAACTGAAGGAGCAGAAAGGGTTTCCAGTGATCCTGCTGGATCATCCTCACAATCACAGGAGAGGAGTGCAGGGATCTGCTGCTGCTGCTGCTGCTGCTTCTTGCCTTGGGAAGCAAGCTGCAGTCAAGCTGGTTTCCAGCAGGCTACGCTCTCATCCATTTGCTCCATGCAGTATAGTAAAGTGGCGTCTCATGTGAGGGTGCTGTAGGTTATGAGAAAGCTAGAGCAATAATCCGCCAATGAATTTGGGATGTGGAACTGCAATGTCACGTGTGCGAGATGAATAAACACCCAGCAATAAAAGATAATGGGAGAGGGTTTACCTCAGCAATATATCTGTCAAAATTACAAATACCTAAATACAGGCGGTCATTCACCCTCGCTAGATTCAACGTGCTGCCATCTGCCTTATTGCAGGGCAGATTCAAGGGTAAACCATATGTGGAACGAGTCTGCCCCTGCGGCTTGATGGAGGTAGAAACTGTCTCTCATGTCTTGTTATGCCGTTGTTTCTACAGGGATATACATTCGGTACTTATCATCCCTGCTATACAAAAATCTCCAAATGGGTCTGAACTTCAGTGTCTAAAATTCCTGGTAGAGAACAAGGCTCCAGAGATCAAGCTAAGGGTGGCCAAATTCTGTGCGACTGCCATAAAACTTAGGGAACAAGCTGTGCTACCGTAATGACTAAGGCCTTAAATGACAATTTTAGGTTATATTTTAGTGATTAAGATTTAACATATATTTTTAACTGCCACTATATCTGTATTGCTCCTATTATACCCAATTGAAATTCAAATGTATCCTTATCGTGTTTTATGACTTCCCTGATATTGTATGTGAACTGGAACTGGTCTGTGACCGAAATTAATTAATTAATCAATTCAATTCATGTGAGGGTTCAGTTCCAAGGGTTGTGCGCAGTGCTTTTTTTCTGGTTGGTACGCAGTACCAACACCTCTTTTTCTAGATGTACCGGCACATTTTTGTCTACTGGTTGTGCGTATAGACAAAAATGCCCATACTCAGACCCCCTGGAACCGAATTCCCGCTTGCAGAGCAATTAAAAAAAACACTCAGCCACACATATACAGTCATACCTCATGTTACGTTTGCTTCATGTTACGGTCTTTCAGGTTGCATCCCACAGCGACCTGGAAATACTGGAAAGGCTTACTTCCATGTTTCGCTGCTCATGCATGCGCAGAAGCGCAAAATGACATCATGTGCATGCACAGAAGTGGCAAATCGCAACCCACGTGTGTGCGGGTTGAGCTCTTTTCATGTTGCGAATGGGCCTCTGGAACAGATCCCATTTGCAACCAGAGGTACCACTGTTCTAGAACCAAATGAACACAGAAAAGCAAAAGCATGGACCTCAGTACTGAGCAAGTCCACAACTGCTTAAAACTGAAACATCACAGCCTCTCCCACTACCTGCTTGTGGGGGCTTGGGGAGGAGGGAGTCTCTTTTTGCCACTGGGTCTCTCTCTGGGCCTCTCACCTGTGGGGATGCAAAATGACCTCTGGTTGTCCCTCCCCCCCTTTAGGGAAGAGATCCTTCAGAAGACCTTGTGGGACAGGGTCTCGACGCACGTGATAGAAAACATCTACCTCCCGGCAGCACAAACCACAAACTCTGGCACCTTCAACACCACAGTGGACATCAAGCTGAAGCAGTGGACAGACAAACAGCTGCCCAACAAGGCCGTGGAGGTGAGACCGTTTGGGGTTGACCTGCGGTAGCGGAGGGGTGAATCTCAGCTGAATCTCCTTCTCTGTCCCTGCAAAGGGACAGATGCAACGGCACAGGAAACAAGCCTGCTCTTTGGAGGGGGGCTGCCTGCCTCTCCCCCCCCCCCGATTCTCATAGATCAGGCTTCCTCAACCTCGGACCTCCAGACATTTTTGAGACTACAACTCCCATCATCCCTGACCACTGGTCCTGCTAGCTAGGGATCATGGGAGTTGTAGGCCAAAAACATCTGGAAGGCCGAGGACAAGGAAGCCTGTCATAGATTCATTTTAGGGTTACGCAAAGGATTGCCCACAATGGCAAGTGTGTGAAGGCTAGGCATGTCCTTGGAGCAGATCCAGAGGTGCACGCCTCTTTGCCGAGCTCCGCAGCTGGTCAGCTCAAGTCCCTTGGGAAACCCATTCTCCCTTTTTGAGAGAAAGTGTGTGGGCACCCAGGCCGCTTTCCTGGAGCCCTGCAGTCTCAATGAGCCCCGTGTGGCTGAAGGTGTCTTCTTGACACCCCCATGTCCTGCTTGCGGGATTCCCACTGTGGGCATCGGGTTGGCCATTGCGGGGGCAGGATGCTCGTCTGATTTAGCAGGGCTCTTCTGGTGTCCTTGCCACCCACACCTCAGTTCTGTGCCATCACCAGTTCTGGTCCTTCAAAGTGCCTCTTCCACCCACTCTACTCCTCAGCCAGCCCCACAGGCTGCCCCCTCCCTTCTTCCCACATGCCTCTGGCATCTCTTCCCACCTCACCTCTCTTTCTGCATAGCAACCCTCTCTGCACAACCCTGGAAACAGCCCCTTCTCATATGGTGTCTGGTGTCTCCTCTGCGCCCCACCCACCCTCTCTAGTTCAACCTTTCACTTCCCTCACGGAAGTGGCTCTGTCGGTTATCATTCCATGTTGGGCATCTTCAGTGTCAGGGCACAGGCAGTCCCCCCGCCCCCCTGTTATTGCACAGGGCATGTGAGTTGATGTGTTTGATGTGAGTCAGTTTCCGCATCTCGTGTTAGAATCCGCTTCCCTCTGCTGGCCTCAGCGCTTGTCTGAGCCCAGTCTGGTGCCTCCAGCGTTGAGCCGCGTCTCAAGGCCGGACTCTGTTTCCCCATCTGCAGGTTGCCTGGGAGACCCTCCAGGAGGAGTTTGCTCGCTTCATGACGGAAGAGAAGGGCCAAGAGCACGACGACATCTTTGACAAACTGAAGCAAGCCGTGAAGGATGAGAGCATCAAGCGCCACAAGTGGAACGAGAGAGCAGAAGACAGCCTGGTGGGGCCTTCATCCTTTCCCTTAATATATTTCTTGGCATAGAAGAAACGATTCCCTCTCTCTTTCGGCAAGGCTTTGTGTGCGCTTTTCTGGTTTTAAAATATTGTCTCTTTATGCATGGACGAAGGAGTTGCCAGAGCCTTTCTTTGGCTGGTGGGGTTTCCATCGGTGGCATTGGCATCACTGCTTAGAAATTTGTTCATTGACTTGATCAATTGAATCCATATCATTACGTGGATAGACATGTGAAGGCCTGGGTGAAAAACAGAAATATTGAATGAATACCCAGAAAAAGTGGAAAGAGGAGGAAATGTTTTTTCCTTTATTGTTGTTGTCATTTCTTGGCCTTCACATCTCTACAGTGGTACCTGTAGTTGTGGACTTAATCCACTTCGGGGTGCCATTCTCACCCTGAAAAGCCCGCAACTAGAGCGTCTGTTCTGCGCATGTGCATGGTGCGATCAAGCGCTTCTGCGTGCGTAAGCTGAAAGTCCGTAACCAGAGCGGAACGCAACACAAGGTATGACTGTATACCCAAAATGCCACAGTGACGCTCAGCCAAACGTTCGAATGTCTTTTGGGTGGTATTCAGTCTGACTAAGGCAACAAATGTGTAACTGGGGCTGGGGGCACGCAGGCCACCCCTCAACTCCTGATCTTCATGCAGAAGCTGTGAGCATAGAGGTTTTCTCCCTCTTACGTGTGTTTTGCCCTCATGGGGTCAAACGAAACACCTGAAGAAGGCTGAATCCATTTCGCAGTCCATCATAACTCCAAGCTTGTCCTTCCCAGAAAGAGAGGGATCTGAAATCAGATCACAGGGACTCCCTTCTCCCTGCTCTGCTGCCACTTGCAGTGAGCTCACTTGAGCTGGCCTGGAGCATGTCGGCTCTTCCAGCAGCTTTGCTTTGAGAATTCCTGAGGAACAAGCTTCTGAATTATCTGGCGCTTTTGCTGCGCATGTGGAAGCTGGGTTGCTTTAAGGGGGAGAAAAAGCAGAGCCCGTTTGGGGACCTGACAGCTGCCCTGTGCTTTGGCAGAGAGTGATCCAGCACAACGCCCTGGAGGACCGCTCCATCTCCGACAAGCAGCAGTGGGACGCAGCGATTCAGTTCATGGAGGAGACCCTGCACAGTCGCCTGAAAGACAGTGAGTGCTCCTCTCCCTTGGCTGCCGTTCTCGGGAGCTGAGCTTTTGCCACCGGGCGCTACCATCAAATCCTCCAGGTCGCCCCTTGGTCAGGGCGCTGTTGTCTCTTCCGCCCTGACCTGTCCTCCTCCTGCAGCTGCTCCCCCCTTTGCAGGCAGTCCAGAATGCTGCTTATTAAATCAGTGGTTGCTCACCATGAGAGGGAGGGAGAGAACAGCGCAGTGTGGTGTTGTGTACTCAGTGTTGTGCTCTTTGTGTTCTTGTCCAGCTGAATCAGTCATTGAAGACATGGTGGGCCCAGACTGGAAGAAAAGGTGGCTCTACTGGGTGGGGCGCACCAAAGAACAGGTAAAAAACTGCCCAGGTGTTGCCCTGGGATTCTCTGGCTCAGCCCAGCTGCAGTGTGTGTGTGTGTGTGTGTGTGTGTGTGTGTGCTGAAATGAAGAAGCCTGATCAAAACATGGGAGGAGAGAGCCCTTGCTGTGCAATTCCTGGGTCTGCAGAGGTGTGCCCAGATCAAGGTGCTTTTCCAGGGAACCTGAGTGACCCCAAAGCCAGCCTGCCACCTTGTCTCTCGTTGCAGTTGCACAAGGGCAGCCCCTAAGATAGAAATACGTATTCCCTGCATGCGGAGTCCTGGTGCCATTGAAGCATCATAGTAACCAAAATGGGGGGAGGGTGTTTAGACAAAGAGACCCTGAGATCATACCCCCTCTTGATTATACAGTCTCAGCCTATTTAATTATTTTATTATTTACTTGCAGTATTTCTATACCCTCTACAGGGAAGGGCTCCTGGTGGCAGCTCTGCTGTTGTGAAACACCCCCCCCCCCCGAGACTGACTAAAGTTAAGGCTTCCATGTTTCCAGAAGCCTTTGGAGGCCCCCGTTTTGGACCAGCTTATTGGGTTGGGGGGGGTGAGTCAGGAGAGAAGCTGGAAACATTCTGTCACTGCTTTTGTCCTTATAACTTTGCACAACTTTTGTGCCTTGGCTAGGTGCTATCTTTTGGGAGACATAAGCATGCAAGGTGTACCAGAATCTTGCTTTCATTTCCCCCCACTCCGCTTAGGGTAAAAGTGAGACTTTAAAAATAAAATTAAAAAAGCAATGGCATTTCTTTTGTTTTAAGACCATCCGCAATGAAACGAAAAACGAGCTTGAGAAGATGATAAAATGCAATGAAGAGCATCCGGCTTACCTTGCAAACGACGAGGTCACAACCGTCCGGAAGAACCTGGAGGCCCGGGGGGTGGCCGTGGACCCCTGCCTGGTAAGAAGCTCTGCCAGCTCCTTTCAGTTCCAGTAACAGGGAAAGGCTGGGCTCTGAATATGGAAACCATCATCGGCTCTGAACAGTCCCAGCAAGGCTCGTTGGAAATGTTTGCTGTTCTGCCAAAATGGCTGGTTGCTTTTCGGGAAGTTAAGCTGCCAGACATTCTTGGGGGGTCAGAGTATGTGTGGAGGTGTGTTTGATGGTCATAATAAGGGGAAAGGCTTAGCAGAAATGCCATGTCTTCCTTCCTTCCTTCCTTTCCTTTTCCCCTCCCTCGCTCTGAGTGAGATGTTGGCGTCAAAAGCTGGCCGTGTGTTTTCTTGGGCTACTCTTAGGGAGTGCAGCTCATAGCATGTTGGCTTTGGCCACGGGGGATTCAAATTCTCTACCCAAGATTTCCCACTTACTTCCACATTTCGGTAAGTAGCTTGAGCAAGGAACAGAGAAGTCAGACCAGTTGGTCCACCCAGCTCGGTGTTGTCTGGGCTGACTGTCAGTGACCCTCCAGTATTTCGGACAGGCGTCTGTCCTAGCCCTGTCTGGAGAGGCTGCCAGGGACTGGGCCTGAGTCCTTCTGCATGCCAAGCAACTGCTGCATCCCTGAGCTGTAACCCTTTCCTAAATTCCCAGACTTGCTGTGAGGATGCAATTAGCGGAAGACTCTGTGTTTGAGGGGGGGAAGCTGAATCCTGCTAGATCAGGCAGCGGCAAGGTTTACCTCACCTGGGCCGGTTCACTCCTGCGGAGATCACTCCGGGGACTGGATAACATCTGCACAGACATGATTTTCGGCGTCCGTGTAGACGCGATTTCCGGCGCTGTGGAAGCGAGTCCGCGCTTCGCATTGTGCCGGTTTAGCGCAGCATGCAGGCTCTCGCCGAGCGGGCGGCTCGGTTCAGGGGCCATTTAAATGACCCCCGTGGGTCTTTTGTGGCCTACGGGCCACAGGTTGCCGCCCCCTGTGCTAGATGCTGCTTCAGTCATGATTCAGGAGAGCACGTTTCTTTCACGCTCTCCGTTTGCGGAGCACTTTCCCCATCGGGAATAGGCGGCTGCTGGACAGGTTTCAGTAAAAACGACAACCCCAAAACAGACCTGGTGCTTTTCCTCCTCCCCTTCTTGGGAGGTGGTGTCCATGTGAGCCAGCAGGGCCCCTTCTGCTGACAGCCCAGCCTCTCAGCTGCTTGCAAAGGCTGCGCTTTCTTCTGAGCGCCGCGCAACATCTGCCGGCCGGCACGTGCTCCGGGGCCGTCCGGATTTGGGCCAACGACAACCAGATGTTCCTCTCTCCCTTTGGTCCCAGATTAAAGACACCTGGCACCAGGTTTACAGGCGGCATTTCTTGAAGAAGGCCCTGGGCCACTGCAACCTCTGCCGGAGAGGCTTTTATTACTACCAGAGGCATTTTGTGGACTCTGAGGTAAGTGGAAGAACTTGCAGGTTACGAGCACTTAGGGAACAGCCGCCGCCCTCCCCTGATGTCTGGCCAGGAAAGGCGAGGGGTCTCACTCAGCCCCGCCCCCCTCCAGTCTCTCGCTCTCTCTCTGAATAATATTTTTGGGACCCTCCACTAGGTGGTAGTCTTGGGATGAGCATCTGGTCCCTGCGTCTCTTGCTCTTCCTTGGGGCTGCCCCTCTTGAGTTCCTGGGACTCACAACAAAGAGGGCTGGCTCTTTAGCTGGGATTGAGCGTCCCCCCTTGCCCCCCACACGTCTCCCGTGTGAGTGTCTGCTGTCCTCTGCAGCGGTAGAAGGGCTGAGAAGCCCCCAAGGCCGAGCCTTGCTGTGTGAGCCACGCAGTTCTTCCAAGAAGAAGATGGAGGACTTCAAGGATTGAACTCTTTAAAAGTATTTTGCACGCCAGAGAAGAAGTGGCTTTTGTCAGGGCCGATATACTGGAGTTCTTGCAGGCACTTGGCATTTTCCTTTCTGCTGCTCCTTTGCCCTTGCCCGTCTTCACGGCACCTCTGGTTCTGATTCAGTGTGGGCCCTCCCACGGTTTCCATAACTCCTTGTGAACTTGTAGAGTTGAAAGGTGCCCCCAAAGGTCGTCACACCCGGCCCCCAACCCCCTGCAAGGCAGGAATCGCAGGGGAAGGATCGCTGACAGATGGCTGCCCTTGATGGTCTAGCAGGGTGAAGCAGGACATTTTGCGTTTGATGCCAGTTTGTGGTGTTAGAGAGGTTCCTGCATTCCACTGGCTGTGAGCAAGGCACTCGCTGAGGCTGCTTACAGACAACACAGCTCTTTCCTCTTTTCCTACTGAAAATCACTGGGGCCTTGCTAAATATTACCAGGCTTGAGGTCTCCACCAGCAAAAGCTTAGCTGCTTGGGTAGGTGAGGAGCATGAGGGTTAGGGGCCCCTTGCAGGGCAGCCCCCGGGCCATGGGAGATGCAGGGAGATGATGCCCCTCTGTGCCTTTTGGGTGCCCCTTTTAATGCTTCAAGGGTGGCGCTGTGGTTTAAACCACTGAGCCTCTTGGGCTTGCCAATTGGAAGGTCAGCGGTTCGAATCCCCGTGACGGGGTGAGCTCCCATTGCTCAGTCCCTGCTCCTGCCAACCTAGCAGTTCAAAAGCACGCCAAAAAAAGTGCAAGTAGATAAATAGGTACCACTCTGGCGGGAAGGTAAATGGTGTTTCCATGCATTGCTCTAGTTCGCCAGAAGCAGCTTAGTCATGCTGGGCACATGACCCGGAAAAACTGTGGACAAACACCAGCTCCCTCGGCCTGTAAAGCGAGATGTGCGCCACAACCCCAGAGTTGTCTGCGACTGGACTTATCTGTCAGGGGTCCTTTACCTTTTTTAAATGCTTCACAGCTAAGCTGCGCTTCCTTGAATAACCAGTGCTTGTTTCCCTGTTACCAAGCTTTCAGTGTCCTTTATCTTCTATTGGATTTGCTTGTTCATATTTTATTTTAAAAAGCATTTATATGCCACTTTTCTTTTTAAAAAACTGTCTATACAGCTTCAGATTCTGAAAATGCATTTGAAAAGCCATTCCAGTGTAGCCATTCCGTAAAAGAGTGATACGTCTTACACTGACAGCATCGTTGATCAGTTGCTGTGTATTGCTTCTGGGATGACTGCCTAAGGAATGTTTTCGGATGCTAGTTTAGGTGGTCTTGCAATAAGCACAGAAAGGTTTGAGCATGTAATAAGCACGGAAAGGTACCCAGCCAGCATTGCTGGCTGCTTCTGGGCCAAATTGCAGGTGCTGCTTTTTGCCTATCAAACCACTTTTGGCTTGGATTGAGAAGAAATGATGAATGAAGCCACAGAAGACATCATGTGGCCTAGTGGGCGCTTTGCTGCTTCCCTGATGCTCCCTTGTTCCTCGCTGTGTGGTTCCAGCTCGAGTGCAACGATGTGGTCCTGTTCTGGCGGATTCAGCGGATGCTGGGCATCACGGCCAACACCTTGAGGCAGCAGCTGACCAACACGGAAGGTGAGAGGCCTGCGGAGGCTGCCCTGCTGGGCTGCAAGCTCTTCCTTAGTTCGGTGGGAGCCTGGCTTGATGCTGGCAGTTCCACTGGACTCCTGGACTCCGGCTGGGCAGGCAGTTTTGGCCCCCTCCAAAGCCTCCTTTTCCTCCCCATCAACGTTTTTTGTTTCGGGAAGTTTTTAAAGTTTGATGTTGTTGTTGTTGTTGTTTGTTTTCCTGTGCGTTTTTGTTGGAAGCTGCCCAGAGTGGCTAGTGCAACCTAGTCAGGTGGGTGGGATTTAAGAAATGCTATTATTGTTATTATCATCATTATCATTATAAAAACAAGCGTAAGGTTTGTCAATACAGTCAAACTGGATGGGATCACGATGGAGAATGAAAGTAAGCAGTGGGGGAAATTATATCAGGTCCTCCATACATAGGAACCTTGGTTTACGAACTTAATCCGTTCCGGAAATCTGTTCTTAAACCAAAGCGTTCTTAAACCAGGGCGTGCTTTCCCATAGCAGCGGGGGACTCAATTTACAAATGGAACACACTCAACAGGAAGCGGAACATGTTCTGCTTCCAAGGCAAAGTTCACAAACCAGAACACCTACTTCCAGGTTTGCAGCGTTGTTCATAAACTAAGCTGTTCTTAAACCAAGGTACCAGTGTATATTACTTAAATGAATCACATTTTTTTGGAAGCTGTATTGAAAAACAAAAGCATAGTCACTAAGGAGCTGAAAAGGCATGTGGCTCAAAAACTACATTTTCCCTAAGTCCATTGAGGCCCACAGAAGAGATTGGTGCAGTTGTTAATTACTGACGTGTAAAATGAAGTCTCCAGTGCTCCTTTTTGAGTATCCACTGTCTGTGGCTCAGCTGGTTTGGTCGAGATCAAATCCAGGAAGGCAGTAGGGATGGCCCATGGCAAGCCTTGAGGGAGCGGGGAGATCCTTAACCCCCGACCTCTCGGATTACTCCTGGACTCAACAGCTTGGGTATCCTAGAATCATAGAATCATAGAGTTGGAAGAGACCACAAGGGCCATGGAGTCCAACCCCCTGCCAAGCAGGAAACACCATCAGAGCACTCCTGACATATGGTTGTCAAGCCTCTGCTTAAAGACCTCCAAAGAAGGAGACTCCACCACACTCCTTGGCAGCAAATTCCACTGTCGAACAGCTCTTACTGTCAGGAAGTTCTTCCTAATGTTTAGGTGGAATCTTCTTTCTTGTAGTTTGGATCCATTGCTCCGTGTCCGCTTCTCTGGAGCAGCAGAAAACAACCTTTCTCCCTCCTGGAGAAAGGTTGTTTCCAACCTCTCCTTCTAGAGAGGTTGGCACTGGGATGTGGGGGGGGGGGTTGATGCTGTTTTTGCATCGTTCAGGCATGGCCTCTCCCTTCCAGCAGGTATTTCACGTGAATGTAAGATTTGTACAAGCTCTCCCTCTGCTATTATCCTCACCCCAACCCCAGATGTAGAACTAGAAATGAATATATTTTAAATTCCCGTTTCCCCCCCGACAGTGAGGCGCCTGGAGAAGAATGTGAAAGAGGTGCTGGAGGATTTTGCTGAGGACTGCGAGAAGAAGATGAAGCTGCTCACGGGGAAAAGAGTCCAGCTGGCCGAGGACCTCAGTGAGTATCTCTCTGGCTCAGGAGCTGCAGTGGCCCTCTCCTGCTGCAGAAGCTGGGTCCTTTGTTCTGGAAATTCTGGGTTAGAGATCTGGTGGGTTCTTATTAGGCGCATGCTTACAAATCCAGAAAGTGCTTGGCCATCATTTAAAGCCAGAAGCATCACCCCCTGCTAAAGGAACCACCTGATCAAAGCAAGGTTGCCCTGGGGTGCCTGCTCAGGGGAACACCGCCCCAGCCCTATATTTATTCATTTCTCTGTTCCTTTCTAAGTAAGCTGTCCTGTTACAGGCTCAGTGCCTTCTAGCTTCCTGGCCCATGACACCTCTGAGCGGCCCCAACAGCTGTGGCAGTTTCGGCTAGCAAGCTTTAGAGTTGGTTGCCCAGCCAGGGGAAAAAAAACACGTAAAGGCATTTTGTGCAAAGAAAAGATGCCCTCTGGATCGGTCAGGGTTTCACCTCCCTGGCTGTAGGGGAGAATGCTGTGCCTCTTTCCATGACGGCAGGAGCAGATCACATCTGGAAGGCATTTTTTGATGTTTCCTTTGTAGCGAGGGGGTGGAGGCGGGAGGCCGTAATACTCTTCCGCCGACCACGGCACCTCTGGCGGTAAAGGTGCAGGTGATAACGTTGCCTGCGTGACACGCAGCTGCCATTGAGGAGGTTCTCCCTCGCCTGACTCCTTGTATTTTAATCTCTGGTTGGAAGTAATTGGAAACATTTGCCGGCCAGCAAGCGCCTCTCTTGTTTGGGATGCCACCAGATGATGATGATTGATTGATTGATTGATTGATTGACTGATACCCCGCCCACCTGAATGGGTTTCCCCAGCCACTCTGGGCGGCTCCCAACAGAATATTAATAATAATAATAATAAAGCAATAAAACATCAGACATTAAAAACTTCCCTAAAAAGGGCTGCCTTCAGATGTCTTGTAAATGTCAGATAGTTGCTTATTTCTTTGACATCTGGTGGGAGGGCGTTCCACAGGGTGGGCGCCACTATCGAGAAGGTCCTCTGTCTGGTTCCCTGTAACTTGGCTTCTTGCAATGAGGAAACCACCAGAAGGCCCTCAGAGCTGGACCTCAGTGTCTGGGCTGAACGATGGGGGTGGAGACGCTCCTTCAGGTCTACTGGGCTGAGGCCCTTTGGGGCTTTAAACGTCTGCACCAACACTTTGAATTGTGCTCGGAAGCGTACTGGGAGCCAATGTAGGTCTTTCAGAACTGGTGTTATATGGTCCCAGCAACCACTCCCAGTCCCCAGTCTAGCTGCTGCATTCTGGATTAGTTGTAGTTTCTGGGTCACCTTGAGACGTAGTCCCACGTAGAGCACGTTGCAGTAGTCCAAGTGGGAGATAACCAGAGCATGCACCACTCTGGTGAGACAGTCCGTGGGCAGGGAGGGTCTCATCCTGCGTACCAGATGGAGCTTGGTAGACAGCTGCCCTGGACACAGAATTGACCTGCACCTCTGTGGACAGCTGTGAGTCCAGAATGACTCCCAGGTTGCGCACCTGGTCCTTCTGGGGCACAGTTACCCCATTCAGGACCAGGGAGTCCCCCACACCCACCCGCCCCCTGTCCCCCCAAAACAGTACTTCTGTCATGTCAGGATTCAACCTCAACCCATTAGTCGCCATCCATCCTCCAGCCGCCTCCAGGCACTCACACAGAAGTCTTGCTCTGTTGCGGGGAGACGTCAGCACTGAATGGCGCTGGGTTGTCCGAGGGGCTTTGTCATGGTTTGCGTGGCTCTGAGATGCTCTTGGACAGCATCTTCTGCTGTCGAGAGGCTGCCATGAGGCAGACAGGTACTCAGTGCCCAGTTTCATGTGAGCCTTTTGTTCTGGACTTTCCTTCGGCCTGTGGAGCCTTCCCTGTTGAGCTGGGTCCCCTCTTCTTAGGGTGCTCACCCCCCCCCCTCTTACGAAGACGGCTGTTAAATCCCTGCTAGTGAAGAAATTCCTCAGAAAAGCAAAGGAGCGCAGACTATTAAAAATAATTTCCATACCACAGAACTAATCCAGGTGTTTTATGGGAGGATGAAAACTTCAAATATGATTTTTAGTAACTTAATAAATATACCGTGGCCTTCTGGAATGTCAAGAGTTTCTTTGCTAATATTGTTGGGTCAGGATCAAGTACGAAGTTTTATGGCCACAGAACATCTGGGAAAGGTGGGCAAAGACGTTGCATGCCATAATATTCACCCAAACATCCTGGCTTGTCTGTACTACTTACAGCCAATGAGTTACATAAGCCTCTGTCCAGGAATGAGCTTTTAATGGGTTGGGCCCTTCTCCGCGCTCGTCTAGCCATGCCTTTGTCCTGCATAACACATTTGCAGGATGGAGACAAGGGCTTGCTGCCTCTGAGAGAAATTGGTTCCCGAGGACCAAACTAACCATGTGCTAAACGCCTGGCGGCATTTGATTTTTAAAGAGTTAAGCCTCGCCCCCTACTCCATAGCGCTGGCCAAATTTGCCCTCCAAAGCTGCCATTTGCCCTGGGAGGCTGAATGAAGCATTCCTCCAGGGCCAGGCCAGGTGGGAATTTCTTTCTTCCCTGTGTTTCTGTGCTGCCACATAACTAAGATTTCCTGAGGAGGGTTAATCTGCCTGTTGCAGTCCCAGTCTTGATATTTCTGTCTGTCAGTCATGCATGTAATATGCCTAGCTGTGGGTCTTTGAGCAGCCTACTCCTGTGTCTCTGTTTTGTTCACTCTCCCTCCAGAATTAGTTGCCTCTTGGAAATTATTCTGGGAAAGGATCAGATTTCCCAAGACCTGGAAGTAGCGAGGCTGTTCACTGGGGTTTCTAAGTCACTCTCATATTTCTCTCCCAGTGGCAGTGGGGAGGGAAGCAGCCTTCCCGAGAGATGAGTCCGAGAGCCTGTTCACTCAGGACTTGAGCAGGATGCGGCTCAGAGCCCTGGTGGCAACTGGTTGAAAAGTCTCAATGTGCAGAATCTTGCCCAGCTTCAGTGGGGATTTTGCGATGCCAGGCAAACTTTTCAGCTCCTTTTTGTGTTTGCTTGAGCCCAGAACGTTGTGCAGTCTTGTCGTCATTCCTGCTCCCGGAGAGGCAGAGACCCTTCATGAAATGCCTCAGAAGGAGCAGTGCCTTTTCCCTGCTTCAGGGGGCAGCAGGTGGCTGCCTTTCGGAGGATCCCCATGAAAGAGGGAGGCGGGTTTGCTGGCACGCTGACCTCCTGCCTCTGTTTACCCTCTTTTGTCACTTGCGGTGGATGCAGCATCTCCCAGGCAGCAGCCGCTGCCCCCAGAGACAGCTTGAGCATTTCCAAGTTCCTTTCTCTGGGGCCTGCCTGGGCTTGCCACTGCCTTTCCCGGCTGTCTCTGGAGGAAGCCCTTCCTCGCAGCTGCATCGCATGCCCAGGCTTTCCTCCTGGAGGGGGAGGACACAGCAAGCGCCTTGCCTTCACAGCTATTGCCAAGCTGCCAAATCTTCTGGCCTTTGGGGGAGACTGTCGAGAAAGTTTGGGCTTCTTTCCCTTGGACCATTTTTCCCCTCGATCCTTTCGGAGGGTTGAGGTGTGCTTCCCCCACACCCCTAATTTTTAGCTGTTGTAATTTGAGCAGCAGTTTTAAGCTTAAACAGTATTTCTTGATCATTCAGATAATCAAGTGGGAATATGTTAGGTTCGAAGCACATAGGATATCCGAACACAGTGTTGCCAAATTAGCTAAGTACTGCAGAACGCCTATTTTTCAGCAGCCAAGCCATGGGCCCCATACTTTAAAAAAAATAAATGTCTCTGTGTTAGTTTTTGTTATGTGAAGGATGCCGCAGACCGGGGGGGGGGGCGCAGACCACCAATTGGGAGCCTTTGTCCTAAAGGTATCAGAGCTATTGGCCTCTCGGTGAGCTATTTCAAGCAGCCATTGATAGCAGAGTCTGTCATAGTCTAGCTCCTTTGGTTTCCTCTCATTCCGCTCAACTCTGCTTTCTCCCAATAGCCACAAATTTTGTATTGATTCCGATATTAGTTTGGAAGTGGTGATGGCTTGGGAGGAGTGTTTATCTGCCCATGCCGTGAAGAGGAAGTGGTCTTCCTAAATATGCAGGATCTGTTTTCAATCAAGGGACTGTTCTAGCTTCCTGATTTTCTGAATCCCGGCTACTTAGAACGGCCTGTGCTTGATGGGGAGGGAGGGCAGGAAAGGGAAAGCTTGTCAGGAAAGCTGAGACGTGCCGGCGAGGGGGTGTCCAGCCCCCCCCCCCCCGGCTTTGTCAGTCCGTGAAATGCTGGCACCTGGGCAGGTGTCGCAGGCGAGTTGAGACTTTGTTCTGCACAAAGGCCCCTTCCCACGGAGAGAGGCCTGGCCACACACACACAGGCAGGCAGGCAGGCAGGCAGGCGGGGGCTGCTAGCAGGAGCTCTTCCCTTGCGCTCGAACTCAGCCCTTGAGATGGTTCTGGGAGGCTGCTCTTAGCTGGCCGCTCAGGAAGCCTCCTGCCATGCAGACCTCACCCCAGAGGAAGCTGCCTCATACTGACTCAGACTCACAATGATAATAATAATTAATTGTTATTTATACCCCATCCCTCTGGCTGGGTTTTCCAGCCACTCTGGGCAGCTCCCAACACCATAAAACATCAGACATTAAAAACTTCCCTATACAGGGCTGCCTTCAGTTGTCTTTTAAAAGTCAGATAGTTGTTTATTTCCTTGACATCTGGTGGGAGGGAGTTCCACAGGGCGGGCGCCACCACTGAGAAGGCCCTCTGCCTGGTTCCCTGTAACTTGGCTTCTCGCAGGGAGGGAACCGCCAGAAGGCCCTCGGCGCTGGACCTCAGTGTCCGGGCAGAATGATGGGGGTGGAGAAGCTCCTTCAAATATACTGGACCAAGGCCGTTTAGGGCTTTCAAGGTCAGCACCAACACTCTGAATTGTGCTCGGAAACGTACTGGGAGCCAATGTAGGTCTTTCAAGACCGGTGTTATGTGGTCTCGGCAGCCACTCCCAGTCACCAGTCTGGC